TTGTAATCTTGAACCTATGGTCCGAATACGTGGCCCCACGTGCCTGAGTGATGTGGGCTTGATAGAGTTCAGGTGCATGTAGTTGAGTAGGATTGAAACCCAGGAGAATGTTGTAAACATCTTGGTCACGCCCTTACTTTGCCTCGCAGCATCTGCTATAAACTAAAGGAATGGCTGTGGGTGTGGTCGCTTTCTCTCAGAGAAGCAAGAGACCCGGCTTTCATTCTCTTGTCTGTCTTTTCTAAGCCTTTCAGCCGCCCCACTCAGGTTCACCCCATGCTGGGGTTGCACACTTTAGAAAGATCTACCTCCACGCTCCCAGGGCGGGTTCCTGCCTCAAACTCCGCCCTTACAGGAAACAGTTCCGGGAAACAGCTTTGGGGAGGGCGCAGCCGTTGCCAAGACAATCCCTATAGGACTGACTGACTTCTACTCGGTCGCTGGCTGTCCGTCTGTATGTGATGAACACCACCCATGGTTTTTATATAAGTAGATAGAGCTGCTACATCTCTCAGGCTTAGTAGAATGGTCTTATGGAGGAGGTGTCCTGTAGAGTCTAGTGGCACATCCTCTCTGTTCACCCAAGCTGGACATTCCAGGTGCACCCCCTTTTGGGCTGTGTACCCCCTCCTGTTGTAGTTGAGCCTTGATTGCTGTTGGCACATCAATGGGAGGGATATACCCCCAGGCTGAAAAGCTAAAAGGACTGTCTTTAGCCACGTGGAAGATCAGTTTTGCAGAGGCCCACTCAACAGAGCAAGACTTACTTCAGTGGGGCTCTGGTGCCCACTGAGTCTGCCCCGTGAGTGTGTGCCTGTGGAGGTGGTTGGGTGGTGCTTTGATATGGCCCCAAATTGTCCCATGGTATGCTGGCTCTGGGACCTTCCAGGAGGTCCAGGCCAAGGTCAGCCACCGGCATGAGCTATAAAGCGACCTGCAGATAGCTGCTACTTGTGCTGGGCTTCGAGGTGCCCAGGAGAGGCCAAGCTTCAAACCAAGGTCAACTGCCACTAGTGCTGGGCCTGGAGCCACTTAGTGAGAGGTACAGGCACACTGAGGTCATATGCTGCTTGTTTAAGAGATTCTAGGAAAGTTGGAAGCATGAGCCAAGATAGGCCATTCATATTGAAAAGTCACTGCAGCCCAGCTGGTATGGCTCATTGTCTTCCTGGCATTGGAACCCTGGGCTAGGGGGCCTCACTTCTCAATGGGGACCTCTGAAGCTGAGATATCCCTCCTGACTTTTATTCACTACACGTGAGTGTGGGACTGGCCTGTTCTGCGTCTCTGCCCCTCCAATCTCGGTGTGATTTCTTTAGTTGTAGGACTCCTGTTCAGCTAGATTTCAGACGGTTCTGAATGATGGTCTGTAGTTTAGCTGTAATTTTGATGTGATATAGGAGGATGCAAGTACTGTGTTTACCTACATTGCCATCGTGATCAGAACACTTTTTAAAAATCACTTTATTTTGTTTCCTCATATGTCTGGTTATTTAAAATAGAATATCAGTCATTGTGTGTGAAAAATTGTAGGGATTTTAGTTCTAGGATGTTATCTCCTTTCAGAAGATTTTCTTGTGGTAGTGGCTGATTTAGGATATTTGAAGCTGGTCTTTCATCCTGTGAGTCTCTAGTGTCTTTCCAGTTAACCCTTACTTCTATGGTATAGTTGGGTTCCTCCAGAGACCTCAACCAAAGCATTGAACATTTATCAGATTCTCCATCCTCGGCAGACCCTGAACTCCCTGTTTTTCCCTTATAGTTTCTTTTGACTTCATCTCAACCTCTCATCCTCTTAGCCACCTCTTACAAAACTGGCAGATTATATCTGCAAAAAAGAGCCCTCTTGTTCTGAACTTACCTCTCTGGATTTCTGTAATAATTGTGATTTTATGGTATTTATCCCTATTCTTGGCACAGAGCTCCTAAAATCCTTGGAATTTGCTAACCGATAAGAGCTAAAAAGGTAAAAAGAATGTCTGTTGTTTCCATAACAAGCCTCTTTAAACACATCTGAGTTTATGTTAATGAGGTGACTTGAAAAACACCTAACTAGGGGGTGGGGAGGGTCTGGTTGTCAAAGGAACCAATCAATTGGGCTCTTAGAGTTGCACCATTCAACCTCATCCCTTTACCTCTGGAAAGAGGAAGGACTGGAGGTTGAATTAATCACCACTGTCCAATGATTTGATCAGTCATTGTTCAAAATGAAGCCCCCATAAAAATCCTACCTGAAGGGGCTGGGAGAACTGGGTTGGTGAACATGGGGAGGTGCTGGGGGGTGGCATTCATTCCCAGGGGATCATGGATGCTCAGTGTAACTTCTACGTACCTTTTCTTATGCATCTTTTCTGTCTGGCTGTTCCTGAGTTGTTTTCTTTTAGAATAAACTGATCATCTACTATGTAATTTTCTTTCCTGAGTTCTGTGAGCCTTTCTAGCAAATTATCTAACCTGAGGAGTGGGTCATGGAACTCCCAATTTGTAGGCAGTCAGTCAGAAGCATAAGTGCCCACCTGGACTTGTGATTGGTGTCTTACGTGTGGGGTTGAGCAAGGTCTTGTGGGATTGAGCCCTTGCTTGTGGGATCTGTTCAAATCCCAGGTGGTTAGTGTCAAAACTGAGTTAAATTGCAGGACACCCAATTGGTATTCTGAGAGTTGGAGAATTGCTATGTGTGAAAAAACACACAGACATCAGAAGTGAGTAAAGAGAAACAGGAGTGTTTTTCTTACAGTTCTTCTATATCCTAGCCCCATGATTCTTCATGATCTTATTAGCTCTTTGATGCCTTTAGAGGACTTTTGTTTCATAGTTTGTCCACCTTTTTTAGTTCTCATGGTACAGCTGATCCCAATTTGGTAATGTCACCTGCCATTACAAAAATAGAACCTCTCTCTGTTGATATTTACTTTATAGTTTTCTTCAGCAAATGTTTGATTGTTTACCAGGCCTTTCCTTAATTTTTCAGTCACTCACTCAAAAAGTTTTTTATTTTCTTAAAAGCTTAAGAAAATGTTTAATATGTATTATACATATGTGTTCCATGTTTAATGAAGATGCATCAACACCCATTCTGCTTTCATGGAACTTAGCCTGATTGGGTAGAAAGAGGCATATGTAGAGAATAATTATGCAAGACATTTAAAAAAAATAACTTTAAATATGTAAGAGAGGAATATAGGTCAAGGTTGTACTGACTTAGAGAGGAAAGATATATTCCTTCCATTTCAAAGCATGGAGTTTTATGTACCATTTTAAGAGATTTTAAATGAGCGAGAATTGCTATGTGTGAAAAAACACACAGACATCAGAAGTGAGTAAAGAGAAACAGGAGTGTTTTTCTTACAGTTCTTCTATATCCTATTTTCCACTACCACCACCACCACCACCACCACCACCCCAAAATGTCCCTGGTCTCCTTCCCGTCAGTTCTCCTCCCTCCTCTGGCCCCAGTCAACTATTCATTTGCTTTTTGTCACCATCAATTAATGTTTTCTAGAACTTCATATAAATGGAAGCATAAATATATTTTGCTCAAGATGTTGTTGAGTTACATTCGTGTTGGGGTCTATATCCAGAGCCTGTTCTTTAATGTATGCTGTCACAGTTTGTTTCTGTCACTTACATAGGTTTGTTTTTAAACTTGTCAGGTGCACTTAGCTAATAATTTATTTTTTGCATATTGATTACTCATCTTTGACATTCATAAACATTAATGTCTTGAATTCTAAATGTATAAAGCTATAAAAAAAATGATTTGAAGAAGTAGACCTCTCATTGCCTACATAATTGTGCCAGTAGAGTATGCTGCTGGGACACACGTGTTTGGATCATACATCACATTTTGACCTTTTATTTGTATAAATATGTTCTAATAGACTCCTTCAAATGCTAGGCTTAATAATGATGACAATGGGATAATTTTAAATCTTGTGATAGCTACTGAGACTACAAATGTAGTTTAAATAAAAATAGGCAAAATTATATTGTAGTTTTTATTATTGTCTGTAAGACTATTTGGATTTTAGCTGTTTTCAAATTTTAATACCCTTTTAAAAATAAAAATTTTCATAAAATTTAATATGTATTTCATGCTTTTAAAAATATGACTATGTTATTATGATTTATTGCCAAAGCTTATGGTATTCTTTGAAAAGGCAGAGTAATATTTTCCTTTGGAACTGGATTTTTTTTTCAATGTCAATTAACAAACATTATATTCTTTCATAAGGAATGTGTTTTTATATTTTCTAGAATTATAAAATTTTCCTGCTATAGGGTTTGTTTGCCTTTTTTAAACAAAACAAATTTGTACATAAAATTTCTTATACAGAGAAAGCGACCTTATCTCATCTAGTACCTCTTGGTATTTAATTCCTAAAGTGCTGATCTAAACTTTAGTAGATACTCGTTTTGTCACTTGATGCAAAATATATGTAAAATTTTCTAATGGAGTTCAGTTTTTAAGAGCCCAGGCTCTGGATTCAGTTACCTGAGTCTGAATTTCTATTCTGCCACTTAGCTGTGAAACTTGGGACAAGTAATTTCATTTCTTTAAAATCAGTTTCTCATTGTAAAATGGGGATGTTAGTCATTCTTGTACAGGTTTAGAAGATAATTTACAGAGTTTTTAACACAATGACTGGACTGAATACATGTATGTTGAATTAATGAATGAATGCCTATTCTCTGTTGTATATAACCTACAACTATATTTGTAAAAATTTGATATTAATGTCAATTTGGAATCCTGCTCTAAATTCTAGGTGACTGGGATAGTTACTTCCTGACCATGGTCATAACTTCATGAATACTGTTAGTGACTGCATGATATACCAATGATAAAAGGCATTCTTGAGATTGTGTACGATTCTATTTTAGTTAGTGCAGATTTGGACACTACTCAAGTATATTGGGCAGGGAGGAGGACCTAGCAGGGATTTTAGTTCTATGTGAATATTCTAGATTCTTTTTTTTTTTTTTAATGTACCATTCAGTCCCTGAACCACAGCTGCTTGATACTGAAGATTGCGACCTCAATGTGGTGAGATTATGTTTTCAAGTTTTCCTCTATGATGAACATGGTAATTTGACGACTACTCTACCTCCTGTTGTGTCTAACCCAATTTATGACAACCGTAAGTACTTCATATTCTTGCGTTTGTAGCCTTAACTTGTTTTTTTTTTTTTAGTATAGTATAATTTTTTAAGGTATTTTGGTACTTAGAAAAACAGTATGTCTATTACAGGAAAAATTCAAACATTCCTGAAATAAATAACAGGAGGTATTCTCCTATAATAAATCTCTAATTTCATTCTCCACAGGTAGTCACCATCCTCAGCTACATATCTCACCCGTTTCTTCTTCATATATGTACAAGTACATTATCTTCATCATTCACACTATATAATGTTGGCAACTTTTTAAAGAAATCATCACTGATCTTTAAAAAAACATTTTCCCCCCTTCTTAGCAATGTATCTCGAATCATTTTTCCTTTCAGGCACCGTATTCTTTTCAGTAGCTGCATATTGCCTTAGGTGGCTATATCATAATTTTATTAAATCATTACCCTATTACAAGACATTTGGTTTGTTTCCTTCTCAGTTTTTTCCTTTTGGTTCTAACACTTTGTACTGCAGTAAGTATCTGCATGTGTATCTCTTGTGCAAGTCTTTAGCATACACTTGCAGAGTAGACCGTTGGCAAATGCTAGATCAAAGGATACTGATATTTATAGTTTTAAAAGATTATGAAATTGCCCTCATATTGTGTGTGTGTGTATGTATGTGTGTGTGTACCTGTCTTGCATGTAGAAAGATAGTGGGACATAGGGCTATAAAGGCAGATCAGATTGTTATCACAGAGAGCTTTGAATGCCAGGGAGAGTTACTGGAATATTGGCCCAGATAATAGGAAGCATCAAAAGGGCATTGCCTTAGGGTTATGGTCATGATTTAAGAAGATTAGTTTGGTGACAGTGTGTAGGAGGATGGAAAGAATCAGAATTCAGAAGCAGGAAGATTTAATTAGAGGACACGTCATTGCCTAGAAAGTCACTCTAAACCAGTTGAGACAATGTAGTCAGAAAGGAAAGGGTCAGACGTGGATGATTAATGTAGTGTTCTTAATTTACTTAGACATTAAAATTTTTTTATCTGTTCTATAGATTGTTTTCCTAAAATTCTCTCCATCAAAAAGGAATAAAATATTAAGGTAGTGACCCATTAAAAATCTCTTCATATTTAGGTGCTCCTAATACTGCAGAATTAAGGATTTGTCGTGTAAACAAGAACTGTGGAAGTGTCAGAGGAGGAGATGAAATATTTCTGCTCTGTGACAAAGTTCAGAAAGGTATTTATTTGTTTTTTGTTTGTTTGTTTCATGGACTTCAGAATATATTTTAAATTAATAGATAACATTTTACTTTGTTTTCCCACTGATAGTTGTTTGCTTTCCTATTCACTAGATGACATAGAGGTTCGGTTTGCGTTGAACGACTGGGAAGCTAAAGGCATCTTTTCACAAGCTGATGTGCACCGCCAGGTGGCCATTGTTTTCAAGACCCCACCGTATTGCAAAGTGATCACGGAGCCCGTGACAGTGAAGATGCAGTTGCGGAGACCTTCTGACCAGGAAGTTAGTGAGTCGATGGATTTCAGATATCTGCCAGATGAAAAAGGTGTGACTTCTTAGTGGTCATGTTTTATATATTTCTTAAAATTAGGCCTTGTCATAATATTTTTTGGTAAGATACCTTGAAATACAGGTGGTTGTTGTTTTTCATAATTTACATTTCTTTGCCTGGTAGTTTTTCATTGATTTTTCAACCGATTGATCTGTGTGCTCTTTACACCTCTTTCTTAGGAAAGGAATCTGGAATAATTTCAAAGTATCTAAACTGTTTGTCAAAATTTGTTTTATAGTTGTTTTATAGGGGGTTTTTATAGATAGCAAACTTGCCAGTCAGAGAGTGGTCTCCATTTTGGTCTTTTTCTGCCTTTATTGCATTAGTTGACGTTGTTGACTTATAGATGTTAGAAGAAAGCGAGATGAATATCAAACTGTTTTTTACTAAGAGAAAAATACCCTTATCATTGGCGTAGGACACACTCTGCAACATCTATTAAGTCCATATTATGTACATTTATTTAAAGCATTTTTTATATATAAAACTATTTATTTATTAAAGGAGAAGAAGCATGATGATTCATTCACATGCTTTCCTGGTTTCTTTCTAACCAGATACTTATGGCAATAAAGCAAAGAAACAAAAAACAAGTCTCCTTTTCCAGAAACTGTGGCAGGATTGTGGTAAGAATGTTTTTGGATTGATTCATATTTAAATAGATTTGGGGGGGGGGTTGTTTTATTCAGTTTTGCACATTTTAAGTGATAATGTTATTTTTCAAATTTACATTTAATAATGGAAAACCTTTATCACAGCAGTTAATTTTCCTGAAAGACCTAGACCTGGTCCCCTAGGATCAACTGGAGAAGGAAGATTCATTAAAAAAGGTATTTTATTCCCTATAGAATATTCCTTGTCATTGGAAAGACCACGGCTTTGCATAATATATTGGAATTCCATTCTTAGAAATAAAACTGCTTCTTTGGTATTTTCCACGCCTACAAATTTTTTCATGTTTTGAATATTGAATGAATTGATCTTGGCTTCCAAAGGTCCTGTTGGAAACTGGTTTTGGGGAGTTACTGTTTGAGAAATAACATTTCGTTCATATGGTGGTACTTTTACCAATTACGGTATGTCATGCAAGAAACTGTTTAGATCCAGCCAGTAGCCTGTCTCTATCAGTAGAGTTTTGCTGGGACATAGCCATGCTCATTTGATTACAAATTGTCTGTGGCTCTTTTTTCACCAAAGTGGCAGAGTTGGTAGTTCCAACAAAGGCTGCAAAGCCTAAAATATTTACTCTCTGGCCCTTTATAGAAAAAAAAAGTTGTCAATTTCTGGTTTCCATCATTCAACCAGGGTTAATTAGAAGTCTTTTGCCCCTTATATTCTTAAACCAGTGCTTCTTCCAGGATTACTATGTATAGCAGTCATAATAATGTGTAAATAAACACAGAATCCTTCATCTTTTTTCTGACTGGGAATTTGTAGTACCTTAGTGTGTTATATCTTAATACATCTTAGATAATTATGTGGACTTTCAATCATCCCCAATGAGTGTTTCCTCCATCGCTTCATTTTTTCTTAAAAAAGAAGAATATGAAATGAATTTTGGCTATTTAGAGTCCCATTAACTGAAATTCTAATATTCATCTCTCACTTTCCAAAAATATCTTTATGGGGCCTCAGAAGCTAGATATTCAGATTTGACTGGAGTGAAATCTGTGCCAGAATAACTTAGCAATATTATTTATAGGTATTTGTAGAAAGGTAAGTGTCACAGAATTTAGTTTAGGGCTCATGTAATCATTTTAGTGCTATTTAAGTTTTTAATTTGAAATGCTACATCAGTGTCCTTGAAAATTTTTTTTATTAGTGTGTTTGTGCCGTTTTTAGAAGTAGTACTTTTTATAATTTTGTTCATTTCAGTGCTGTAATGATATATTTCCCCCTCCACAGAATCAAACTCGTTTCCTCATGGTGCAGTTTTGAATGAAATGCTCCGGCCTGCAGGGGTCTCGAGCCAAGCAGAATCTTACTACTCGTCATCTGTGTCCATCTCAAGTGCCATGCCACATCATGCCTCAGCCATGCCCCCAATGGTACCTCAGCCTTCTTCACACTGGTCCTCAGAGCCCCACCCCCCCTCGTGCTCAGTCAGTACAAATCCACTGAGTAGTTTTGCAACAGGGACAATTTCCTCTAATTCAAGATTCCCAGAAATGCATGTTGTGAATGACTTGCATGCTTCTAATGCTTGTATTTATAACAGTACTAATGACATAGGCCGAATGGAAACATCATCCCTGTCATCAGCTGACTTCTGTGGTTTTTCCGGTGCCAACATGCTGCAGAATTGCCCTGTCAATATATCCAATAATGACAGCATGAGAGAGACTGACAATTCGGGATTTACGAGAATGAATATGGGAAGCCCTTCATGCAACTCGGTGTTAGACCAAAGGGATTTGAGACAGTTCCATCAGATGTCCTCTTCCAGCGTGCCAGCAGGCGCCAGTTCCGGTACCACTGCATTCGCGTCACAGTCGGATGCATTTGAGGGATCCGACTTCAGTTGTGCAGAGAACAGCATGCTGAACGAGTCAGGGCCTTTGAATGGTACTAATCCAAACGGTCATGGTTTTGCTCAAAGTCAGTATTCAGGTATTGGCACTATGCAGAATGAGCAGTTGAGCGACCAGTATACATTTGAATATTTTACGGATAACTTGCAAGACTTAAATGATGGTTCAAGCTTTAAATCCTTTTAAATGTTAGCAATCATTTTGGTATTACCCACATAGAATTAACATTTTCTATTTCTCCCACCATATGTAGGAGATTTCTTTGATAGGCTCTCTTGGCTCTGGAGCTCCTCCAAGAAGTAGAAGAGAGGGATGAACTCATTTCCCAACTTCGGGAAGAGCTGCAAAAAGCCCCAAGACTTTGCTTCAAGAGTAAACAAATCCACACCACTTGATCTCTAGGCTATGATGTCCCCTGGAATCCTATGTGCACCCCACATAGTTTATTTAAACTAGTAAATATTTCAGTCTAGGTTAGATCATTACTTGACCATTAGAAGTGTATAATGAATCTGTGACATGTTAAATATTAAATAAAATCAATTTTTCAACTAAAAAAAAAAACCCACACCTTTGGGTATGGAGAATACAAAGTTGGAAATTGCCAGAAAAGGAACATTCCAAAGTAGACATTTAAAAGGTTTTAGTGTTTCCCCTTTTGAAGCATGTGGCCTGATACTGTGTATGGTGGGAGTTCTGGCTTTAGAGTCCCACCACGTTTCCACAGAACAGAGCAAAGAGAACATTGGGGCACAGCTCCAGTTTTTACAAACTTTTTAATATTTCTTTTGTTATGTATTAATGTATTCCTAGTTAAATGAATTAACCGATATTTGCTTTTAAGCAAATTTAAGGTAAAACCTGTAATGGCTATGTCATTGGAAAAATTAATTTCTTATTATTTTTTGAGGCCCATGGGCCAAGGTGACCCCTAAGGGGTTTTTCTGAGGCTTTTTGGAGTTTCTTGGATTTATATGCAAATCAAAATTTCTTTAAAATGCTAAGTTGGACAGAAGGGTGCATTTAAGGAATGGGAGGTTCTCTACTTTTTGGATTATTTAAACCCATATCTAAATTGCTTGTGATTTTAGGTTTACACCTATGTTCTTAAGGGGAAGAAATTTCTTTGGACCTCTTATGTGTCCTCACTGTGAGTTCATCCAATTTCATGCCGTCAACTCTGAGATTTTACCCCTAGTTTAGACCTGTCCTCTGAACAGCAGATTTGGAGTTTACCCATATGTGTGTAAAACTGCTTATTTAACATCTATACCTAGAAATCTAATTAAAGATCAAACCCAACACATTCTTGATCTCCCCTCCCAAACGTGCTTCTCTTTTAGTCTTCACCCATCTCAGTAAATGGCAATGCCATGCCTCTGGTTGCTCAGGTCCAGGTCTATGGACTCGACCTTGATTCTTTTTTCCTTTTATCTCCCCTATCCAAATCTGTCAGCAAATCTGGTAGGGCCTACCTTCAGAATACATCCAAAGCTGGCCCCCTCTTTTGACCTCTACCATTAACATCCTGTTCCAAGCAACCATCATCTCTGGCCTGGATTGAAGCTATTTCCTCCAAAAACCCTCTTTATTTCCTTGAGTCCCTACAGTCTATTCTCCATAAAGTAGCCAGAATGATTATTTTTAAGCCACATCAAATCATCTCATTTAACTGCCCAAAACCATCCGATGGCTTCCCATCTCAGAGTGGACACCAAGGTCCTTAAGGTGAGCAGGCCCCGCTCCCTCTCCTACCTCATCTACCACCATTTCCCCTGCCATTCAGCTCCAGGTGCTCTGGCCTCAGTGCTCCTCTTCGAGTACACTCCTGCCTTACGGTCTTTGTACTTGTTCTTTCTGCCTGGAATGGTTTTCTCTCCGATACATGCAGGACCACCCTCCTTACACCCTTCTCACTCCACGTTACCTGCTCAAAAAAGCCTTCTTTGACACTATAACTAGTTACCAGCACATCACGTCCCTTCCTTTATCTTTTCCCATAACCTTATCTAAGCATTCATTTGTTTACTATTTGTTTTCTTGTGCTGGAACATAAGCTCCTTGAGGGAAGAAATACTTGTTTTGTTCGTAGAATACACAGTTTGTAGAACAGTGTCTGCCTCAGATTAAGTGATCAGTAAGCCCTAAGTACTACTGATACAACTCTGTTTTTTGAAATAAAGAATAGCTTTAATTATTAGATGCTCATGGTTTTCATAGTGCCGTTTAGTGTGACATCAGGTTTCTATCAGAATCCTGTACATTTAAGACAACAATTAATTAATGGTAATCCAAATAGTTGGAAGGCAAAGTGTAATTGTGATGGAATTGTCATGATGCTAAGTAACCAACTTATTCAAGACCTAGTTTATTTTATAACTAGAACCTACCATAAATGTTGAGCATATTCCTAGCTAGAAACATGTCATTTTGTTAGAGAATAGTAAGAAGCTAGGAAAATTCCAGGACAAGCAGAATTTGGAAACTCACTTTGCAGCCACCTAGTAAATCCTGTTTTCCCTCAGCCAAGGATACTTAAGAGTAAATGGTTTGCACATCTCCTCCCCAACTGGAAGGTAAATAGCTTAAATCACCCTACTCAGGGAGACATAACAGAAACCCAGTTAGTGCCATTTGCCAACCACACCCAAGGACAGACAATTTAAGAGAATAAATCTTCCCCCTCAGGAAGACAAGAACTGAGGTCTCGTCGTCTCATGGTTAATAATTTCACTAACATAGCATCCAACCAAACCATAAAACTACTGGAACAATTAAAACTAGTCAATTTGGTCAAAATAGAGAATGTGAGAATGTCATATAAATAAAAATTCTGAGTTGAATGATACTGGGAAATGGTAATGGTAATATAAAGGTTGAGATATTTAGGAAGAAAAAGATTAATGATTAAAAAGATTAAAGCTAAGTACCATTAATGTTTCTCAAAAATGATGATTTCAAAATGAAACATTCTTGTTATTATAATTTTAAAAATCATAAGCACATAACATACTTCTTTAGAACATACCAAGAGAAATAAAAACCTGAAGGCATAATTTCTTACCTATTCAAAATATGAACCCAAGATATTTCCAGATAGTGGTTGATAGGTGGTACACTTTTTTAAAAATATAGAATCCTCTAGTTGTGTGTTAATTAGCATTGATCAGCTTAAACAACTGTTAGAAAACCTAAATGGATTTTTTAAATTAAATAAGCAGTTGACTCGCAGTTTTTTTCTGTGTAAGCCAAAGTAAGGTACTGCTACATCTGTGTTGAGATGGATTTTTTATTTTTCATGTGCCATTTACTGGTCATAGGATTTATTTTATGATTTAAAAAGAATTTTATCTCTAAATGTGTTCACACTTTCACCTGTTCTTGTAACCCCCCACTCTTAGCTTCTGAGGAAAAGGTGACCTTTCTAACCTCTACTGATACACTGGATTCCCCCCCCCCTTCTCTCCAATCCCTCTCCTGTTTCTTTATCCTCACATCAGCATTTAGTGCCTCTTTTTTTGTATAATAAACATAATAAAAGTCTTCTTTAGCTTAAAAGGAAAGAAACAAACCTCTTCTGCTACCCTCATGCTCCTTCCCTTCACATCCAGACTCACAACATGCTTTCGGTCTCCATGTCCTCATTCCCGGTCATTCCTTACCCTCTCCTCTCTCACTTTACCTCCTACTATTTTCTTCTGCTGTTCTGTGGAAAGTGACCTGGGACACCTCCCTTGTTAAACCTAGTATCTTTGTATCCATCTACTTACCTTTGTATGTTTGGACTGTCTGTAACCTTCCATCCCCTGGAGCACTCCCTCCTTGGGTACTCCTCCAAAGATTCTGTGGTAGAGAACATTCTTCTCTGAGGTTGATTTTTTTCTCTGAGTCTCAACCCTGGGCCCTCAGTTGGTGCTATTTTTCCCCCAGGGTGACCTTGTCGGTGCCCACTCCAGCTTTCTCTGAGGCTATCTGAATGCCTTTAGAACTGGTTCTTCCTTTGGCTACTCTAGTGGCATTACCATTTACCCTGCCATCTAAGATACTTAAACGAAACCTCAAAACCTCACATTCTTCCTTAGTCATCAAGTCCTTTTGAATCTGCCTCCCCCAAATCTCTTGCATTTGTCCCTCAGTTGCCGCTGAGTTCTTAGTGTAGGCCTTCCTTCTTTTTCCCCCAACAAGAATATCTTTTCCATATGCTCCAGTTAAAAATAACACCCCAGCTCTAGCCGGTTTGGCCCAATGGGTAGAGCCTTCAGTCCGAGGATTCGATTACAGTCAAGGGCACGTACCTCGGTTGCAGGCTCGATCCCCACCCTGGTTGGGGTGCTTGCAGGAAGCAACAAATGGATGTGTCTCTCTCACATTGATGTTCCTGTCTTCCCCTCCCACTCTCTAAAAAAAAAAATCATTGAAAAAATGCCCTTGGGTGAGGATTAACAAAAAAAATATACCACCTCATCCCCCCTTATCCCTTATTGTCATTCTTTGAAAAAAAAAACTCTGGGCATCCATTGCCTTTCATGTATTATATACTCTACCTGTATTGTTCAACCACAACACATCGTCTTTAAGACTAGGCTTCTCTGTGAAACTTGAGCCTGCCCCCCTAGCTGAGGTACAACTGTACATTGCCCCTGTTGGAGAACTCCTCACTGAATTGTAGTCACTTAAGGTTTGTCTCATTCATCTTTGGGATTCTTTCCCTTAGCATAATCCCTGGCATAGTTGGTGCTGAATAAATGGTAGCTATTACTAGAGAGTTAAATTGTTTTATTGCTTAAAGTATTACAAAGAGTATTACATATGTCTCCTTTTTTTCCCTCGCCCTTGACAATCCCCTGGCCTCCCCTACCCCCCAGTGTCTTATGTCCATTGGTTATGCTTATATGCATGCATACAACTCCTTCGGTAAGGATGGGGTTCTTAAAGGAAAAGGTACTTAACCTGACAAGAAAAGCATTGATGCCAAGATTTTCAAGTTTGTGAAACACTTTACCCTCTGCCTCCCATGTTATTAGCTGTATTAGGTAGAAATTTTACAGTTATTAGGATTGTCTCATATGTCTGACTTGGCGGCTTCTCTCTACTGTATGTGAGGGGTTTAACCTCAGTCCTCCGTGCATTTCCTGGACACCTTACCATTGCACAGACACTGGGGTCTTCATGTAATCAAATCACATATCACACTTTTTTTTAATATATATTTTATTGATTTTTCACAGAGGGATAGAGTTAGAAACATCGATGAGAGAGAAACATCGATCAGCTGCCTCCTGCACACACCCTACTGGGTATGTGCCCGCAACCAAGCCGGAATCGAACCCAGGACCCTTGAGTCCGAAGACCGACGCTTTATCCACTGAGCCAAACCGGCTAGGGCACATGTCACACTTTTTAATGTCTAATGTACAAAGCACCATGTTTGGTTCTGGAAATGATATAGAGGTGAATGAGGCAAAACTCTTTCTCAAAGAGGTCAGTCTTTTTCTTTTGAGGGAAAACATCTACGGTAAAGTGCATAAAGTGGATTAATTTTAAGTGAACAGCTTGAGTATTTACATACATAGACAGTCATTTCCAGCACCCCATAAGTTTCCTTCATGCCCATTGCCAATCTACCTACTCCTCAAAAGCCCTCTTCTGATTTCCATCATCAGCACCTATCTTAATAGCCTTTTAAAGTAGTCACTGGGCCTCTCTACTCAGAACCTTGCTGAACAGACACAGTTGGATTGTCAATTTCTAACCTGATACTTCAGAAAAACTAATTATACTAGTACTCCATGTTAAAGACTTGGAATTGGTGATCTAGGCTGCCTAGTAGCACCAACTAAGTTGTTATAAATTGATTTATTGAGGGATTAAAGAAATGTCCATGGGATGTTTAAATAGCATGGAGAAATGGAAAGGATGGGGAATTTTTAGTCAGACATCTGGGTTTTAATCTTCAGCTCTGCCACTTAAAAGCTGTGTGATATTTAACAAATCACACCTTTTGTGAGCCTGTCTCTTCAGATATAAAATTGCAGGTAATGCCCAGCCTACCTACCTCACAAGGTATGTTGTATTAAGTAAAATAACGCGTAAGAAACACTGTAAAGTGTATAGTACGAATCAAATACTGTTAAACCATCCGTATATGTCCTGGGTCCCTGGTTAATCCCTAGTCCAAACGCTCCTTCCAGTGGCAGAGTGAGAAAAACCACCATGGGTTAGATTTCCATAATAGGCATCCTGAAACCGGTTTCTGTTTAGAGTGGCCAGCTGCTGCCCACTTCTGGAGGTATTCATTCGACTTTATTCTTTCCAGAGCCATTTCCAATTGTATAGCAAAGGTAGGTCAATTAAAGACTTCCAGTCCTGAAATTCTGTGACTTTCTTCCTAAAAAGAGGTCTCATCATAGCTAATGAAGTTACCACTTTAAGATTCCTTTCCTGTTTTGTTTAAGTATGGGGCAAAATTAGGATGTTTATAAACAATTATTTTTTCTAAATATTTTTAAATATTTTTTTTCTATCCTAAATGTCTATGACTTTAGGGAAAAGATACCACCTGCTATTAATTACCTGTTTAAAAGGAGTGGAATTTATCATATTCTAGTCATCTTAATCACCTGCTTCTACAACTTCAGTTTACTATTGGACTTTCAAAAATTTAAAGAGTTACAAAAAAGATTCATTAAACACCTCTCTATGAACAATAATTAGTACAAATTGTTGGTGCTTCAACAAATTGAGTTTTCAGAGATATCAGCAGGTAAATAAAATACAAATTGGTAAAAGTATCAAGTGTTTATCTTGCCTATTTTCCTTCTTAAACTTTATTATCTAGTCAAACCATTATAACTTTGTATAACGTGTAGTAAGAATTAGATGAGGTTGGAGTATTTGGGGATCCATATGTGGAATTCAGTCTCAGGAGACTTCATTGATGACACAGTTGAGGTAGCTTTAAGAGGAAATGGAAAGGACACACAACAAGATTTTTAGGAAATGGACATTCTTAAATGCATGGTTCAGACCACATGCACCCTTTAGAAATTATATCTGTTTTAAAAGAATGTACTTACAAATGCTTTTGATTATGAGGAATCCACTATTACATTTTTTACTGTTATAATTTTTACAAGTTCTCAGGCACTGTTGAATTATTTAATTGTTAAGTGTGATGTCAAGATGCAGTTATTTTAAAACAGGAATATTTTCTTTTATTGTACAGAATGTTGTCTTTGTAATATCTTTGTATACAGTAATTTTTTTCTTGGTAATATAATAAATGGAAAAAATTCTAAAACCCTTACTAAAATGTTGTTGCTATTTGACTTTAAAAATATCAACGAGATGTTCTTTGTATTTATAGCATCTTCCTCACAGAGAAAGCTAGTTTTGGTTGCTTAGAAACAGTAGGCATTTTAATGGAATGCTACAGCTGGAAATACTTGCATATATAACTGTCCTTTGAGATGGCAGATAATTTTGTAGAGTACTAAAATGCCTTTTTAAAAGATTTTTATTTTCTGCCTTCCTGACTTATTTCCTGCCTGATTCTCTTCCTTCCTGAATAACTAAGGACAAAAGTCATTCACTCATTCTGAGCAAGGCACAGGTAGGTATTAACCACAGCAGGTGGGACTACAATGTGCAGAGCCCCAGGAGAACACGGAGGGTAGTGGGGAGGGGAGTCTCAGTGATCCGAAATAGGGATGCAGCCTTAGGAGACCACCTAGGAGGGGGACTGATCTATTATGTTAATACATTAAAGCTAATGGGAGCCAGATTTCTCACTCTCAGTGAAAGAAATGGCAAACATGGAAAGGGAGAGAAAACTAGAATTAAGGTTGGAATTAGAAATAGTGGTATAATTCATAGTGTTCAATATATGTAAAAAAAAAAAATACGTAGAGGTAAGCATGACTGTGTGCATGCCATGAGAACGCTTGGGAGCACCAAAGCCACAATAGCAATGAGCAGAACTAGTGCCCGGATTTTGGTTTATAAATACCATTTTCTACTAAAAGGAACTAGTTCCTCTTAGTGAAATAGCCCACACTAGGGCTGGTGCAGATGAAATACAAGATGAGCTTGGAGTGTCTTTTTGTATTAAAGCAACAGCATTCAAAAATAATTAAAGAACATTCTCCAAGAATAATAGGATTATGTTAAAAGGACACAGGACTCAGCTTGGTGGGGCATCCACTGGCCAAATCAGTACTTAGAAATCAAAATAAACATCAATAACAAATTATAGCTCATTGAATAAAACAGGAAGCCATGAATACACAAGAAGGAAAAGTTTTAACTAATATAGAACTTACCCAATGCCAACCAAAAAATATAAATGAGGAGGAAACTAGTTTTGCAAGGCATGTCGGGCCATAAAAACTGTAAACAATGCACTGCCCTGGTGGGGAGAGGGTTATGCTGGCGCCAGGATGTGGCCTGACACCTGGGGGCCTTCCTTCCTGCAGGGCCAGGCAGGGGGCATAGGGCATATCTGCAAGACAAAGACCCCAGCAGGATATATATAGACAGGCTCTCTGCATGTTTCTTCACTCTGATTTGGAAGTTATGCCCGGTGTCCACTGGTGTTAATAAACGGGGCCCCTCCCTTTCTCTAGGAAGCGTGCTTGGTATTTCTTTGCTCTTCTGTAACATAAAAGGAATTAGAAAATGAGTATTTGACAATCATCTTACCTAATAATAGACAAACATGTAAATTAACTCCACTACACTCACCAGCCAATCAGGAGAGTATGCAAATTAACCCAACAAAGATGGCGGTTAATTTGCATACATAGGGTCAAAGCGGTGGAGCGAAGACTGAAGGCTCCGGCCGGAGCAAAGGCCTGGGTCCCAGGTGCCGAAGCAAAACCGGTGCCGGCAGCCAGGGGAAGGGAAGGCCTGTTGCATGAATCTCTTCGTGCAACGGGCCTCTAGTTGTAGTAATAATTGATTCAGTTGAAAATCTTCAATGAATGCTAATACTAATAAGTGAAATTTTGATGTCACTCTGTAAGATATTTATTAATCAAAGGGAAAAAAGAGTGGAAGAGCTTGGCAGATACTACCTTCATTAATTGAAAAAAAAAGTCTAATCATTGGTAACAGCACAAACCAAAATTGTGTGACACTTTTGCAAGAAGATACTATTTCTTCTGTGGTATTCTTGTTAAAAAGGTACAACCTGAATCTATTAATGAAATACTAGGCAAACACAAATTGAGGAACAACCTATTAAATAACTGGCCTGAAATCTTCAAAGTGTTAAAATAATGAAAGTCAAGGGAAGATGAACTGTTTCAGATTCATGGAGACTAAAGTGTGATCCCTTAACTGTGCAGTATCAAATTCATTCCTGATTTTTATCATTATATTGTGATGAATGAAGTAGAACAATGTCCTTGTTTATAAGAATCACACACTAATGTAGGGTGATAGGGCATCACTGGCTCAATGATTCAGGAAACAAGTTTCTTTGCACTTTTCTTGCAACTTTCCTGTGAATGTGAAATTGAAAGTATTTTTTCATAATAAAAAAAGGGAACCATTTTAAAAAATCAACTCAGAAAAGCTTGCCTCAAAGTTCATTCTTTTATATGGACTTAAAAATCAAAGAATGAAGCTCCAAAAGAAAATATCTACCTAAGTAAAGAGTTTTTCTCTTTGGAAATGGAAGTTTAACTTCTAAGTTTATTTCATAACTTACAAATGTAACTAGTTATCTTACTTAGAAAATTTTTAATTTTACCAACTTTGTTTATTTTTACTTTTCCAGGTATTTAGAGTTGATGTTTTTTTTAAACTAAACCACAGACTATATTTGGGACAAAGAGGTGCTAAGAAGCACAAACGGTCCTTTCACTAAGTGTTATTTAAAAGACTTAAAGCTGTAAGCTATCACAAAACTAACTTTAAAATACTTTTATACAGGCAAAAGTGAAACGACAGTATTCTCATTACTTAATGTTTTCAGTTTTGCATAAACAATGACCTACATTAATTTAACATGTCTCATAATTATTATATGAACATTTGAAATAAGTATTTACAACTAAAATTTACACTTTGCTTGAAATTTTGCATAACCTCAGGAATAAAAATTTAAGAAATAGAGGTCTTCTAATTTGTGTTAGCTCAGGAGGTTCTGAATTCTTCCATTTTGCAGATCCACTGAATTCAAAGACAAGCCAAAAACATGCAAAAGACTAGCTCCCCACATTATTTAAATGTCTTTTTGTAGCAAAATTTCCCCAGAAACTGAGAAACATTCACACAAAAGTTCTTACCTTTTTATCAAAAGTTTATTTCTATTATCCCTTTCTCATTTTCTGGCTTATTGAAAATAGTGAAAAAAAATTACTTGCTATTATTCACATAATGAAATTTCATGATAAAACCATTTTCCTAATTTCTGAAGTGAATAATACATCTTGTCAGGCTGGTGTTGCTCAGTGGGTGAGCGTCGAGCTATGAACCAGCAGGTAGAGGTTTAATTCCTGGTCGTGTGCTGGGGTTTCGGGCTCTATACCCAGTAAGGGGGGTTGGGGGGATGGGGAGGGAGAAGATGTTTCTATCTCTCTCTCCCTCTCCCTCTCTGAAATCAATAAAAAAATATTTTAAAACAATTTTTTAAAATAATACATCTTAGTATCTGAATTATATTGAATGGAGAGATAGGAAACTGGGTAATCTAATACTATCCAAGTCACATGTGTTCTGAAGCTCAGAGAGTTGAGTCAGGATGATGGAAATGACACTTAAGTGTAAAATTTTAATGAGACTCCTTTCTGAAAGTTTTCTCTTAATGACTCAACCGTTTTCTCTAAGTTTTGTTTGTTTTTTCCTCTTCGTAGTACTAACTGATTATTAACTTATTAGCAAATGGTAATCATGAGATACTATGAAATATACTTGGGCTATTTTGGGATAAGCTCCTTGAATCTAAATTCTGAAAGTCAATTTTCATGGTTATGTGCATTAAAATGACATCCTCAACTGCCTCCTTCACACAGTATGTGCTCAATAATAAGGTTTATTAGAAAGGGCCTACAGACCAGGAAACTTAAGTTTTGGTCTTAGACATGGAAGTAACTAACAATTTAGATAAATCATTTAACTGCTATCTTTGGTTTTCATATTTATAAAATGGAGATGATAATATCCTGTCTACCTGATAAGGACGTTTGAGGTTAGATAATAATATTGAAGCCCTCTAGAATAGTATCACCTTTTTTTGGCAATCTCAATTTTTCAAAATCTTATCCCTGGCAATGAAGTTATTGAAGGCACTTGTGTCTCCTTCTTTAAAAGATTTATTAAAGTCTCTTACCTCGATTCCTAAGGTTTTACTTTCCCTCTCCAGGAAAGGCATTGACAATTTTAGATTGTCAATGAGTAACTTGAAGTCATTAGCATTTGTGACAAATCACACCAAGAGTACTTCTATTGGTAATAGCTTGCTAGAAGCTTACTGGGAAAAATAATAATGGTCTCAGATTTACATTTGGTATCTTATTATAAGATACTGTGCTGCATAAATATAGACAACTTATCAACATTGTTTTAAAAATTTAGAACATGATTTTAAAGGTGGTAATTCTCTTGTGAAGGGAAGTTTTGCTGAAAGAAATTACAGCTTCTTAAGATTATCAGAGAATGTATCCTGTTTGTGCACCTCTCTAAATGGAAGAATGAATATAGGGAATGGTTTCATAATTCATAGTTGGACTTGTGGGGGTTGGCGAGGGAACAAGAAAAATCATAAGACATCTTTAGAACAATGTAGCACACATTCTACACATACTGTATATGGATCCTGAGATGTTACAAGTTTAAAAATAAATAGATCAACATGATCCAAACAGTTGCCAAGACACCCTTATGGTGGGTAAACAGCCGTTTTACAATGTATGCTGAATGGACATCCACGTTGGGCCACGAAAACCCTACTCCGTTTCCAAGCTTGAAAGCTAGTCATCCAGAGCAGGGGGCCAGTCAACATCTACAGACTGGAAGGAAGAAAACAAGTCATTAAAATATATTCCTGTTCTAGGAAGCAACTGCAGGTAATGCTGTGTAAGTTAAGACTTCTAATCTATACTAATAAAAGGGTAATATGCTAACTAGACCGGACATCTTCCAGATGACCTTCCGGGCGTCCTTCCGGACAAAGCCATGGTGGAGGGGCTGAGGCAGAGGCAGTTAGGGGCGATCAAGCCAGCAGGGAAGAGCAGTTAGGGGGATCAGGCCGGCAGGGGGGAGCAGCTAGGGGGATCAGACCAGCGGGCAGGTGAGCAGTTAGGAGCCAGTGGTCCTGGATTGCGAGAGGGATGTCTGACTGCCAGTTTAGGCCCAATTCCAGAGGACATCCCCTATGGGGTCCCGGATTGGAGAGCGTGCAGGCTGGGCTGAGGGACACCCCACCCCCATGCACGAATTTCGTGCACCAGGCCTCTAGTCTATATATATAAAAGGCTAAGCGAACAGCCAACCAGCCAACCGGCCAGTAGCTGTGACACACATTAAGTACCAGGGGGCAGATGTTCAACGCAGGAGCTGTCGAGTGACAGCAACTTTGCAGAGTGCCCTCTTGCACTCTGGGACCCCTCGGGATGTTGGACTGCCAATTTTGGCCCAATCCCCGCAAGCCAGGCCAAGGGGCCCCACCTGCTGGAGGGAACTGCTCACTCCACAGATGCCCTTTGAGCCCCAGCACCGCCCCAGGTGCGGCCGGCCAGGGAGGGACTGTGGGAGATTGGCTCCAGGGCATGTCCAGCCTGTCTCGCCCAGTCCCACCCAGTCCCACTCCGCCAGCCACCTTCTAATTAATTTCCTTTCAATGTGTATGAATCCGTGCACCAGGCCCATAGTATACTATAACAGAAGAAACTGCATTTGAAGTAAAGAGCCAATGAATGCAATTTAACACTCTAAAACCCTCTGGGACCTGGGGTTCTTGGGCCTGCAGTCTGTTGCTAAATTTATTGAGCATTCTGTTACTCAGCTGGTTATTAATTGTGCCTTTTGACTGATAAAAGAGACTAGAGTACATTAAAAAATTTTAATGTTATTTATGGGTAAGTAACAAACAAGTTCAGGTAGCAACACCAACTTTCCCTAAGAAGTTTCAGCCACTTTTATTCTTCTGGTCATTTTCACGTTCCCATATTTCTACTCACCCTGGTCTGGCTCTTCTAAAACAAAACCTTGAGCTTCAAGTCATAATGAAATTATAGTACCAGACTATTCTGTGCCATATTCCAGGCCTTAGAAGTACAAAATTGCACCTTGACTTCACTACCCTAGAGGGCTTAATTTAGGGGAAAGTTTCTTTTAAAAAATCCACTGTCCCTGTGTTGTTTGAGACTTAAACTTTAAAACCTGAACTAATTTGCTAAAAATGATTTTCAAATTAATCTATGAGTCACTTCATATACCATATGCAGAAAATATTAGAAGACCCCAAATAACAATTGCATATGTGTGTGTTCTTTTATAAATCTCAGGGAAATAATTGGATTCTGTTTGAGAATATAGCCATATACCCAGAAAACATCACTGCTCACAATCTTGTAGTGCTGTGGGTGGTGGGGCGGGAGGGTTGGAGGTGGAGGAGGGGTAGGTATGTGGTAATGTTGAAAAGCTCTACAGGTGAGTCTATTGAACAATCAGGGCTGAGAAACACTGGCCTGTGGCTCTTTTGACACTCTGACACTGTCCTGAGAAGTAAGACAAAGAAGACAATGCAACTGGGATTTTCTATAACAGATGGTTGTCTTCATCAGAATGACTGAATGACGGTGTTTCCCCAGGAGGCTACCTGCAACCTTGAAGATGCTGTCACTGACTGAGCTGTATGAGATCCCATCTGAAAGCACTCAAGAGGCCTGCTGGTGAGGTAATAATGTTCCAGGGCTCACTTGATTGCCATAGCTGCTCTCACACTGGGCAACTCTACCCACCTTTTATAATGGGTACAATTCCCAAGTACGAAACGTTAGCATCTCCTAAAATATTTGTTGTGGTGGGGGTGGGAAGGGGCTGTATTCCTAATGGGATATTCGTCAAGGAGCACAACTTGTGACTCAACACCTACTGCTGCTCAAATAAGAAAAATATTGATGGAGAACTTCCTGAAAGATCCAGTCTGTCCATTTTTCTAATTACTTACAAATTTAACCTTGTTTCAATTCAGATTATAAGAGTGGAGAATTTGGACCACATCATAGTGGCCCCTTATAGAACTGCTTTTATTAATAAGCATCGGCTCAATCCATTTTCTACCCCTGTCCTGAACATACATTTCTCAGTAGTTTACCTTAAATTCTTTAAAAGACAAAACTGGTATGGGAATGAACTATAGAGTCCAAAGGACATATGAAAGGCAACTTCATTTCTTTGCTTGGTTTAAGGGTTTAGATCTCATGCCATATGTAAAGAACAATTAATAAGTTAGCTATATATTTTTGCAAGGGTGATAAATGAGATCTTGTGGGGTTTTTTAAAGACATAAAAATTCCAAGATAGACCCTCCCTGCAATATAAAGCTATCGTGAGATTTTGATCATTTTCAAACACCTCTTAAGGTAAGCAGTACTATTTGGCTTAATGCCAAAAAAGCATAACTTTGAATTCAAGGTGCAAATGGGCATTTCCACAATAAAATGGTTTACCTCAACGTCCAGCTCAAGAATGTCTGCAGTCACATTCATCAGAGAGCCAATGTTCGGCTTGGTTCTCCCGAAGTCTCCGTGTACAAACTCTTTAATGTAGCTGGGGTTTGTTTAAGGGAAAAAAATAGGATAGCCATGCAGTACCAATCGTTTGGTGAGATTTGATAGATGAAAGAGAAATAATAAAAGTAGAAATGTTACAAAAGAGGTTATCTCTGAGCTGTGACTTGTGATGTGTGTCTCAGAAATTAGGCTACACAAACTGGATCCTACCTGCCTAGCAGCCAACGTCAGGACCTACGACTCGTGTTTACATCAAACTTGCCAAGAGTCATCATTTTCTTTTTTCTTTAGCTCATCTCCAAGTGTCAAGGTTTGGGTATGGGTTTTCACAATCAGCTGTAGATAAATGCTATATATATATATATATATTTAAATCTCAGCTATTGTTTCTTTGCCACAACTTCCATTTCGACATCTTTCTTGTCCCATTTTTCAATAATGGCAGCCGGTATCTGCCATGTGATAGGTTTCCAGAGTCACAAGAGTGACCTCAGTGACGGCTTTCCTTGTAATGTGATCCAGAGACACAATGGCAATGGGAGGGGAGGGACAATAAGACAATTTAGTCTTGATGAAGGCCCTTCAAAAGGATTATCAGAGGACCTAAATTCTAGTTGTTTTGCAAACATGGTTAGCAAAAGGGTTAAGTAAATTCTCTCTTGTTTTACGGGGGCAACTTTGTGTTTTACTCAGAGGTCTTCAAATTTTGAAGTCAATGACTAACCCTAGAATTAGTTATTAATAAGATTATATTAACATCCCTTACACAGGACTACTACAACCTTGACAATCTTTATCTGAAAGATATGTTTTTTGCCAGCATTCAGTAAAAATTCATTCACCATTACGTTGTCGTCTATAAACCAGCACTTGGTATAAAATTTAATATGATTTGAATAGAAAAAAACAAGTTTGTTCTCAGATGATGAATAATAATTAAAAAAAAACAGCATAATATGCTGATATATCCCCCTCACTTTCTGAAAGTTTATTCACTCAAGTTTCACCAAATGTTTTGACTCAAGCATAAGATGTGTAACTGTCTTCTTTGCTAAACTCATAATTACTTGACAACTATCATTCTTTTTCTCTCACTTTCTTTAGAGAATGCCATTTCTGAGTAGCATTGATGAGGTAGATGACCCAAAATCAATTATAAGGTCCAGAATGGTTCTTAATCATACCCTGAGGAATGAGGTGTAAGTCAAATGAACTAGTTCAGTGTACTGAGCAATATCTGTGAAAAACATATATTTTTGAGTATAACCACATGGTATCTAAAGCTTTGCCAGCTGTCTTGGCTAATGCCTTAAGTTACATGTACATGGCTAGTTCTAAAAACATCTAATGAGATTAAAAAGATCTTAGCTTCTCCAAAATACCACTGCATTTCTCCCTAGCACACAAAACTAAAGCTAGGATTAGGAAGAAAGGATTTTTTTTTTTAAGAACCTGTGATTTCTTTGAAATCCCATCCACATGCCATATATAATGGGCAGATGTGCTCCAAACAACAGAGATACAAAGATCTGCCCACTGAATAGACCACCCCTTGTTCTAAATAGTAAAATCTTAGGAGATTTTAGAAGTAACCTATGCCTGTTTTTGAGGGGGAAACCCTGGTCACTCCGAGGGCGGGATAGGGGAGACAGAGAGGTGAGGAGGTTGGTGGGGAAGGAGAGGCAGACTAATTACAGCAGCATAGTACAAATGCTATTTGGTGATTAAAAATTAACATTTCCCCCCTTATATCCATAAGTATATCATTAATCTTATACTAGTTAGAAGGCATTTTGTCATTTCATGCTAGTAGATCACAAAATAATATAAAACCAAGAAACAAATAAAAACTAGGAGCACCTTTGAAAAGTAAACTAAAGCTAAGACTACAGCAGCTCTCTAATTTTTTTTTTTTTTTTTTAGGTTCTCTAATATTTTTTAACCAGCAAGTCAGACCTGATACCAAACCATGCAGGGCAGGGTAGGCTATGGACAGGCGATCAGCCTTGGACTATTCTCTTGTTCTGGGCCAGTGGCCAATAAAGACCATTCTGTAAAGTGCCGCCACTCCCATCTACTCTCAGTATTTAACCACCTGGGCACGTGCTCAGAAAGGTTGAAAGGACCCAAATGTGGTCATGAACATGTGACTGGCAAAATGTGTAAAGACGGCCAAGGAATCAACATGTTTCCTGAGTACTTACTATGTGCTCACCATTGTGTGAGACACTACATATTTTAAAGATCACTTTGAACTGGCTGCTGCCTCATGGTTTAAAATGGCATTTTGAAAAATACAAATTTAATGAGGGAAAAACACTCAAACAAGACAAAAAAAATCTTCTCCAATCTAACCCTTTGCCTATCCTCCTAGATCCTTTGAACCTATTTTCTAGGGCAGCACGAACTCTTCCACTAGGGTTGGGGTTAGGTCACTGCTGTGCAGAAGGTGAAAGGATACGTTCCAGCCTGAGTCTTTAGCTGGAGACGGAAATGATGCTCATCCACATAGCATGTCTCCATGGAGTGAATGATGCGACTTCTTACAGCCAGGGGCCTCCGGTGCAGGACCCGCAGAGGTGTCTTCTGGTCGATCTTTAAGTCCTAAGGAGGATGTGATACACAACTATGGAGTCAGCTTTGCTGCCCACTGACGCTCCTGTTAGCACCTCCTTTGTCCTCTGTGGCTCACCACACATGTCTTCTTTAGAGGACCCCACCTATCACTGTCATGGTAGAAACTAACTAATACCGTAATAAACTGTATGGTAAAGGCTCACGCTCTGTGGGACTTCTCATAGCCTCGTCCATACTTACTTTCTGGGCCACAGTGCCCCAGAAAAGGCTTTGATGTCAATGTTCCCCAAAGTCCCTTTTGCTCTAATATTTAACCACTAGGGGCCTGGTGCATAAAATTCATGCACTCGGGCGGGGGGGAGGGGGTTGAAAGTCACTCAGCCCAGATTGTGAGAGGGCATAGGCCAGGCCGAGGGACCCCACCAGTGCATGATCGGGGCCAGGGAGGGACGTGGGAGGTTGGCCAGCTGGGGAGGGAACGTAGGAGGGCTCCAGGGCGTGTCCAGCCTGTCTTGCTTGCCCCATCAGCCAGACCCCAGCAGCAAACTAACCTACCGGTTGGAGCATCTGCCCCCTGGTGGTCAGTGCACGTCATAGCGAGTGGTTGAGCGGCCTTAGCATATCATTAGCATATTACACTTTGATTGGTTGAATGGATGACTGGATGACCAGACACTTTGCATATTAGGCTTTTATTATATAGGATTAGGAACCCGCCCTTTACATTAGCAGCTCTTTTAGAAGACATATTCTTACTGCTTTTTCCCTAACCCAACAAAATAACCTAATAGTGGGGATTTCAGGCTGGGGTGAGAAACGGCAGTTTTCGAAGGCGGGACTTCGGCCTCCCTGTGTGTACAGGCAGTGTGCATGTGTTAGGTAGAACCGTACACCTACTCAGGGTTATTTTTTGGTTATAAGAAAGGACACATCTGAAAAATCAGCAGTTGTATCATAATTTTAGAGTGGTGTTTCCACATAATAATGACAAGAGTGTGCAATAAACCAGGACCTCTTACTATTTGTTGGCCCGGTCAAGTTACTTGAGAATAACAATACTGCATGTCTTTTTACAATTCAGATTTGTTTAGGGACACAGGCTTGTTTTCCTCACAATTAGAGAATTCCTTTTATGTCACAAGATATAAATGAAGAAGCAGAGGTTAGTATTGTAAAAAGCAAACTAATTCCAAGTTTTAAAAATAGATATTGGATATAACCAGAAATGTAGGTTCATAAGAACTTCGAGTCCTCTGCCATTTCTTGTTGGAACAACTCCTTTCTCATTTGCATGATCAGTGAGTGCCTGAAGCCACACTAAGAAATATTTTGGTCTGGCCCTCCCACCCCCACCCCCATCAAGTTCTCCACCAAGAAAGAAAGAACAAGTTCTGACAACAACTGCACTTGAAGTTGTGTGACTGCTTTTATCAGAGCAAGGAGTCAATGGCCCCTCCTAACTCGTAGGGCTTTTTTTCTATTTTACTTTTTTCAATTACAGTTGCCATTCAATCTTATATTAGTGTCAGGTGTACAGCACAGTGGTTAGAGATTTATATAACTTATGAAGTGGTCCCCCCGATAAGTCGAGTACTCACCTGGCACCATACACAGTTATCACAATATTATTGACTCTATTTCCTATACTTTACATCCCTGTGACTAAGTCATGGGCTTGAAGATTCAATAATTCTTTTATGTTAATAGCACTTTGTTCTGACACGATAAGCTGACTTCTTAAGGTCTGACATTCATAAGGTTTGTTCTTGCAAGTCATAGACGTCAACCTACCTTTATCTTCTTTCTATTTTTGTGTTTTTTTAAATAGTTAGATCATATTCCAACTTGTTCTACCATTTCCTTATTAAAGGAAATTCATTTTGTTTCCAGTTGTTACTGTTGACTTTTTGCCACTTTGAACAAATATCCTTGATGCACATATCTTTGTGCCCTGGGGTTTTATTTCTTCAGGACAGACTGCCTGTAGTAGATGTGCTGGGTGGGAGACCAGTGTATTTTTAATTTTTACAGTCACTGCCACATTGTTTTCCCAAAAAGGCTGAAACACTTTACATTTCTCCTGAATGTGTGCCACAAGCCTGTCCTCTGCTCCAACCAACAGGTGCTATGAGTCTCAGAGGAGTAAAGTGATGGCCTTATTGTCACTTCAGTGTGGAGGTGGAACATCTTGTTGAATGGTTCCTGACCATCTGGAGTTGCTCTTTTTTTCAGCTGCTGGTTCGTATCCTTTGTCTTTTTTTCTCTATTGGGGGTTTGTATTTTTCATAAGTATAAATCCTACTCAAGAAATCTTTTGCCGATTTGTTTTCTACATAGTCATGCATATGGGTACACACGCTCAGTGTGTGTGCTCTCTTCCCCTTACCATTTGTCAGGACCATTTCCAATTTTGTCAACAAATACTCATCTACCACATAACTTCTAACAGCTGGCTAGTAACAGTCCCGCATACAGATAAGCCATAAGATTAAACCAATCCCCTCTAGCAGGTCATCCAGATTATTACAAAATATTGCCCATGTAAATAATGTTCTGATAACTACATATGAACATGTTTGTGCCCATTTATTCTCATTTCTTGTGTGTGAAAGTAAATTATCTTTATAGGAAGAAGTGGGGGCAGATGGGAAGAAATATTCAAACGAACTGGCAAACCCTTTATAATGACATGCTCATATGAAGGAAAATCTAGCATGGGGCAAAAAAAAAAAAAGTGCTCTACACATTATGCTGTTCTATTTATTTATAACATGTTTTATGTATTTTATGTTTCTTTTGTACAGGAGGCCAAATACAATAGTAGCATTGCTGAGTGTTTTCTATGTGTCAGATACTGTTCTAGGTGACTTTTGGGACTAAACTCATTTAATTCTAATTTTATAGATGGAGAAATTGAAGAGGCTAAGTAACTTGTCCAAAGTCACACAATTAGGAAATGCAGATCCAGGGTTTATACCCAGGCATCTGTCCTCAGAGGCAGGCTCTTCATCACTAGCAAGACTTCCTCTCAGACAGGTTAGATGGATTGCCCAGTCACTCAACTAGTAAATGGCAGAGCCAGCAGTTGGAACCAGGTCTCACAGTCCCCAATGCCCATGCTCTATGACTTGCTGGTAACAAACTAGAAGACAAAGGACTCTTTTATAGGCAGTAGAAAAATAAAATAAGACGAATCAGGGCATTTAGCTACCTTCATGCCATTTAGAAATTCAATGTCTTCCTTCTGTATTGCTTTATTTGTCCATATTAAGGCACTATAGGTCTTGGTCTTTTCTTCTTCACCTTCTTTCATATGTCCTATTGCCTCTCTAAAATAAATAAATAAATAAATAAATAAATAAATAAATAAAGCAAGCAAGCAAGCAACATTTGTCTAAATATATAAAACTAGAGGCCCGGTGCACGAAATTCCTATAAAATGGAATCATACAATATGTGGTGTTTGGTGTCTGGCTCCTTTCACCTCATAATGTGTTTGAGGTTCATCCATGTTGTAGCATGTATTAGTAATTCATTCCTTTTTATCACTGATAATATTCCATTGTATGGTTGAATATAACACATGTTGTTTATCCATGGACATTCGGGTTGTTTCTACTTTTTCTGCAATTATGAACATTACTATGAACATTCATGTAGGTTTTTTTGTGTGGATGTACATTTTCATTCCTCTTGGAAGTAGAATTGCTGGGTCATATGTTAACCTTTGGGGAAAACACCAAACTGTTTCTACACTGGCTGCACTTACAATCCCATGAGGGTTCTAATTCCTCCACATTCTTGTCAACACTTGTTATTTTCCATCATTTTTATTACAAACATCCTAATGAGTGAAGTTGGATCTCATGGTTTTGATTTGAATTTTCCTGAATAATTCATGCCATTAAGCATTTTTTTAAATGCATTCATTGGTTTATTCATATATCCTCTTCAGAGAAATGTCCACTTACTCATCTCCCTATCATTAGTAGGGTGGTTTTCTTATTACTGGTTTGTAAGAGTTCTTCATATATTCTGGATATAATTCCCTTATCAGATATATGCTCTGAAACTTCCCTTTTGAAATGACCTCCAGTGAGCCTACCCTTACCTTGTGACAAGCTGCAAGTCACGGACTTGGATTTTGTTAGACGAGCTATTAATTTTCTATAGTAGCAGAAAAAGAAAAACAATTAGCAGCTCCAGGTCAGTGACAGAGTGGCACAAACAGGACGGTTTCCATGTCATGAGGTGGTTTACCTGCTGAAGTTCCTTAATTTCTTGTGAAGTGAAATGCACTCTATGAGGATTCACCAGCTCAATTGCAAAGGGCCTTCCTGCAGCACACACCCCGCCATGAAACAGAAACATGTGGATGGAGTTAACATTTGGGCGAGTGCAAGAGGGTTAGGAGGTGTGAAAACATGAGGTGAGCTCTAGAGGACTGAAAGTTTAGCTACATCTGGGGAGGGAAGAATGTGTGAAAAGAATTAAGGGGCTTTGGGGGGCTGCTAAACCCCAGTGTAGGCAATATGTGAAAGTGACTGCTTTCCCAAAGGTCCACAGGCAAGCCTGTGTTAATTACAAAATAAAATCTAAACGACCACTAACGGACTTGGTTACACTCGTGTCATGCTGTCACATGCAGCCATGTCCAGGTAAGCCTCGCTGAAATCCGTCCTCCGAGCTTAATCCTCTCGTGAAACAGAAGAGCTGTGATTCTATAAGAGGAAGGATCTATAAATCTCAAATTGCTCTCATTTTTCTTGTAATGAAACAACGTAAAACCAGAAATGAAGGCTAAAAGAGCAGAGTCACTTTTTCAATGAAGATGTGCATTTTAAAAACTGTTCTTGTCCTGCTAAGATGTTATTAAATGGAACAATTAACAATCAAACTTTTGGGGGAAAATCAGGCACCTCCTGCTGAATGCACATAAAAGTCCCTGGTAACCTACAGGTATGCAATAAAAATGGTCTCTGAAGAAATGACTCCAGTTAAAACATAACAATTATATAATTTATAAACATAGCTCCATAATCCACAAAGCTTTCTCACTTGGAGAGGAGCTCTGGGCTCCACCCACTTTGGTTTTGAGTCAGTGACTATAGTAAACTATAGTGATAATCTGAAAGTTAGTTCTAATCGAGTGATGCTGTTGCAATCTTACCATTTCCTAACGTCCTCACATCTACATCTTCTCTTCCAGAGGATGAAAAATTAAAACCTTCAGAAAGCAGATAAAGAAAAAAAAATTTCAGAGAAATAATAGTCCTAAGACTTCCATTCCTGCCCTTTGGTAGAAACCCAATTTTTCTTAAACAATTTACAGGAGAATCCCAAAGGATAGTCATCATCCCACCTCTATTTCCAATCTCTCCTAAAGATTCCAAAAATAATGATGAACACCTTTTATTGAGCACTTACATGCCAGGCACTGAGCTAAAATTTGTGCATACATTATTTCAGTTTATTTTACCCGGTGAGATAGGTATTAAAAAAACAAACCACCAAGCTTCAGAAAGGTTAAGTACTTTTCTCAAGGTCACAATTTAAATGGCAGAGCTACTTGTTTCCAGTGTCAAGGCCAGACCTTAACCACCATCCCACGGGAAAGCCAAATGCAGAGCATGATTTGGAGGAAGGCCCCCCCCGCCACCACCATCCTGGTCACAACTTATGGTGAAAGGTCTATCATCTACTTTCTTCTTTTCCTTAAAACAAAACAAAACCATTTATTTGATAATTAAACTCTATGAAAGGGAAAGGAGGGAGGAAATATTTGACTCTAACACAAATTCATTATATAAGCAAATCTAAGCTGGAACTGTGACAAAACTAGCGTTCATTTTAAGATCGATGGGTCATCACAGACTAAAAGCTGCAAATATTGAAATGGGAAGTGGTTTTAAAAAAAAGTGAGGGGAGAAGTGTCACATGACAGCTTTTTTAGAAATAGAACTGACTAATGATTTCATCATCATCACCACAGCCCACATTAACATGAGAGGCATTATTCTAAACGTTTCATATGTGTTAACACTATGAGATAGGTTAACATTATGAGATAGACACTGACATTATCTCCATCTTATTTATAAGGCAGGTGAGACAGACAGAGGATAAGTAACTTATCTAAGATCACATCACGGATAAGTGGTATGGTCAAGATTTGAACCAGGTAGTAGGCTCCAGAGTTTCTTAAGCATTGTCCATACTGCACCACCATGAAGACAGCCAAAAATGCTCAGACTTGTGCCCACGGAAAGCAAGACCAGTCTTGGACCAAGGACTGGGAAAGGCTGGAATGTTTTTGAAAGCCTGGTCAATCATCAGAGTGGTAGAGTTTAAGGTCTCTGAACATAGAGCTCACACCCTGATTCTTTCATTCGGGAACAAGTATGTACAGGATGTGTGTGCAAGGCACTGCGCGAGAGGATGGAAGACAAAGGCACACAAGGCGGACATAGCTCTTGTCCTCCCAGAGCTTCCTGTCTATGCAGGGATATGGACCATCAAATAGCGGAGGGCTGGGGCCGGAGAAGTGCGGGAGCGTTCCTGCACTGAGAGCACAGTGCAGCGAGAGCGATGAGATTTTTATTTATTCCTCGGTAGGCCAGCCACTCTGGAAAGCACGAGATAAGGGAGAACGAGACTATGGGATGAGCAGATGGGAAGGTGGGAGGAGGGTGAATTCCATTTTAACAGCCATTGTTAAATCTTCCCAAGGAAGATTCTAAATGCAAAGTTCTCATGTAGATTTTTAAAAAGGGAAGGCTAAAAGCTTTAAAGTCCTATGAAAACTACACTCAAGATTAGCCCTCCTTTCCAGTATGGTCAGCTGTGAAGAAAGCAGGATTTCACCCTTCCTTCATCTTTAAGAAATCACGTTAGCAAGCCAGGGCCAACCCCTGCTGGAAACATGGGCTCCGAGCTGTAGGGTGTCAGGTACTGCCATGGCAGAGGGGGCTCCTCTCTTTGCTCAGGGCCCAAAGCTGTGGCTCTCACAGAGAGAAGCAATCAAGGACTGGCTATCCAAGGCAGGTCTAGAATTCAAGCTGTGAGTGAGGCTCATGAGTGAGGCTCATCAGTCTGGGTAGGCTGTGCTGCATTATTCCAGAGGACTGGCCAGTAGAGAATCTGGGTCAGGCAGGGAGTGGGATTCCATGGACCAGTAAGTCCCAAAGAACCATCCATTCCATGCTTCCACTCCACTGTCAAGCTGTTAATACACACGCAGCAACATCAGTAGCTTTCAGTTAGTCAACACACTCAGGAGTAGCACTAACTGGGGATGGAGAGCTAAATGGAGAGTTCAAATGGCATCTGGGAAGCTGAAAAATACCGACTCCTTATGGCTATGATTTGTCTTATACCTGTTCACCTCCATCTCCAAACTAGCCGTAATGTCAGGGAAGCAGGAATCCACAGTGACTGAGCCACACCCGCAACAGTGACTACTAAATCAGACCAGAAATCTCAAACTCATAAATCGGTCCATCTAACGTCTCACAAATTCCAGCACATCAACAAGAAAGAGGGGCAGAAAGCGAGGCTCTGGAGAAGTCCAGAGAAACATCATAATCCTTCCAGACAGAGGGAGAAGGGGTATTTACTGTATATTTTAGGAAAATGTTACAAATTTGGATCCCACATGGAAAAACACTTTTGGGGGCAAACTTCAAAACTTGATTCATAGGCAATTATGAATAATAGCCGATAAAAAAGGGGAAAGGAGCCACTGCCATTCTGGGAAACACATTGTTTAAAACTTAGTTGCATTTTCTAAACCCTGTAAGTGCTTTGAGTCTTCTGCTCAAAGAAACGGATGTTTCAAAAACAAATAGGAAGCCAAGGGTAAGAAGGATCAGGAACGATGTATGTGGTTCAGCTGGTCTGCAGTGGCCTCAGACCCAGGAACAGACAACGGGGCAGAGACCAGCTGATAACGTTAGGATGTCAAGTGAAGTGGTGGGGACTTGACCCTGTAGCTCAGTCATTGACCAGTTTTCAGCAGGGAGCCACCATGACAAACACTTACTCACTGAGCGATGGAGTAAGTGTGTTAGGGGAAAATTTTTCTTTGATTTTGAGAGTGTTCAAGTTTATTACTCATCACCTAGGGAATTCGCAAGTGCATAACATGAAGTGACTGAGAGACAAGTTTGTATCTCCCACTTAGGGGAAGGAACCTTTCTGAAGTAGCTAGGCTGCTTCGTGCAACACCGGCTTATTTTCATCGAGCTGTAAAACGTGGAGGTCTCACAGTCAGAACCATCTTCCCTGAGGTGTCAGAGGTGAACCCCAGAAATAACAAGTAATTTATCTGAGAAGCAGGGGTTTAGAAAAATGGATGCTATTACTCAGGCCTTTCAAACAACAAGGTCTTATCATGACAAGAAGCCCATGAGCACAGAGGCCTCCAGAAATACGCTTTTTCATAAGTGGCTCTCAATACACCTCCTCAGCACACACGACCATATACGTTACACACACAGTTTTACTTATTTCCAGCTTGGGGACAGATTTTCCCCCTCAAATGGAAAATGACAATGGAGTGCCTTCATGAAAGACTGCAAGGGTGAAACACACCGCTGTGTCAGAGCCCCCGGCAGCCCTGGTCACGGCGGGGGCTTCCTGGGGACCCACATAATCAGAATTGAAAGTTTCTTGAATCTTACAGAAAAGGAGTGAGGTGGCCACAAAAAAGTTTGAAAGAGACTTCTTGTGCCAAAGCTGTATTTTCACTTCTCCACGACTTGGAGAAGTTTTATAAGACAGCTAGTGTGGGAATAGTAGATTCAGTAGATTAAAGCTCATGGCAGTAACCCAGAGTTGTTACTGCTAGGATTCTGGAAAATACTAGTTTGCTAGCTTACTTTCTTCTTCACTCAGTTAAACAATTCTTAAAAGGCCCTTACAAAGAGGGCTGCTCTATATAATAGGCAACAAATTATAAGCGGGGTGGGGTTTGAAGTGCTTCTCTTTACAAGCAGAGAGCGGGAAGGGACAGCCATATGTCATCTCAGCCACTGCTTGCCATTCCTACAGCAAGCTTGTTTGAAGGTGTTTCAGAGAGAAGGATGGACGTTGAGTTGATTCCTCAAAAAAGGTGTTCTAATTATTTCAGGAAACCCACTTCAAGAGTGACTGACGTCCTGCCTACAGTTTTTCCTGACGGACATGATTTCCTGTGGTTGAAACCTCAGCCCCTTTGCGCTAGTCTACTCCTCGGTGAAATCATGAGGCTTTATGCTGCCTTTGACCTAACAGGCCTATCAAGACAAAGACAACTAAACCTGCCCGGATCTGACTCATCCCCCAAACCTGGGCTCATTAATGCCTATGGAGTTAAAACGCAACATGACTCCCATTAAGTCTTTGTAAAATGGTAGCGGTTGGTTTCTTTTCTCTGGGCTTCAGCTTTTTCCCAGGACATTTTAGTGACTATGACAGAAGCCAGGCATGTGTCAAGCACTGACTGTGCGAGCTGTATTTTAATTTCCTCAAATGCCACCAAAGAGGTCAAAGCTGAGGTGTCCCAAGGCCAGCGCGTCAGTGCATTCATTTAAAGTAGTTTCGATTGTTTTGAATTTTCCCAGGAAAGAGCAGTCATTTTGAAAAGGGAAAGAAATCCTTGGCACCTTGGCCCAAATCCAGCCCCGGACAGGGGAGCTCAGCCATGGCTGTGCCTGTTTATGGGAAGCTGCCAGGCCAGGGGCCCAGACTTGGTGGTGATTTTAAAAATGCAGAAATCTTTCCTGCCACCTCCAAAAAGTCTGTTCATGAATGACAATGTATTTAAAATGTGAGTAATGTAACACTTACTCTCTGCTTTGAATACTGTCAAAAGATGATCTGAAATTAATTCTTCCACTGAAGATTCCAGCTTCCTTTCTCCATCAATTATCCAAGGAGTTTGTGGCAGATTCCTGGAGTATTTATTATATCTCCCTGCCAGAGAAATATAAGGTAGGCTTGATGGAATGATGTGATTAACACAACGGAATTAGAACAAAAAAGCAACAGCTATGTATTGCATACCAATACCCTATGACAGTGATGGCGAACCTTTTGAGCTCGGCGTGTCAGCATTTTGAAAAACCCTAACTTAACTCTGGTGCCGTGTCACATATAGAAATTTTTTGATATTTGCAACCATAGTAAAACAAAGACTTATATTTTTGATATTTATTTTATATATTTAAATGCCATTTAACAAAGAAAAATCAACCAAAAAAATGAGTCCGCGTGTCATCTCTGACACGCGTGTCATAGGTTCGCCATCACTGCCCTATGATATAAAACAAGGCTTAGCAAATAATAATAAAAATAAATAAATAAATAAATAAATAAATAAATAAATAAAACAAGGCTTAGCCTTCAATTAACTTACAATCTAATTTGGGGAGCCAACATATAGACAGGCAGACAATTAAGTGATAATATTTAAGGTAACAATAGAAGAGATAGCTAACAACATAATATGAATCATTAAATGAGTTCTAAAGGAATGCTCAATAAATTTATTAATCTGACTGGTTGACAAAACAGGTTCTATTATTACAGAACTCACCAAGGATTTTTTTTTTTAAAGAGAACAACTATTGCTTTTACAGATGATTAATAACACTTTCAATGTAATAGTCATTGGTGATAATATATTCCAAAGAATTCAAATACAGGAAATTTTGAAGTTTTTATACTTGAAAAAAAAAAACACCCTAACAGAATATGACTCATTGGTTTATGAATAAAGCTCCCCTAAGGAAGGGAGCTTTCATTACCTCATTTCATTCAATAGTCAAAACTAAATATCAATTTCATTTCAGCTATTACTACAAAACAGCTGTAGCTTTCAAAACAAAAACTGTCTGCTAGATTACCCTTGGGAAAGTCAACGCAACAATTTCTTTTCAGGCAGAAGCCACGTGTTTAGTCATTTTGCAGATAATAAAATTATTTTTGCAAGTTTGTGTTCATGTTATAAAAAAAAAAATCCTCTCCACGGCTGTGTTTCTCCTGGCCAGTTTTGGGTCTCGCCATCTACTCATATTTCCACTCGGCCATCTCTGATGAAAACTATTACAACCTGGGAAGTGTCATTTCCTTTTGGCATGGCATTCTAAATAACAAATCTCCCGAGTGACCTTAAGAATACCTATACAACCTAAAATAAGCTTGGCTATCAGTTCTAGTTCTCAAAGAGTTAACCAATCAGAATCTAATAACAAGAAGGAGGAAAGAGAGGAGGAGTCAGTTGAGTTTTTCAGAAAGGTGAGTAGGTTGACAGTGTAAGTGTATTCTAGACAAAAAAAATATTACCAGCCACGAAGACAGCACCATGAGCACATTCCATTTCAAGGACAGAGCATACAGCCTTTGGTGAGTTTGGAGGACAAGGAAACTGCCTGCAAAACAAAATAAATTTTATAGCTACGATATTCCGGACGTGATAATGAACCACGACAATGAGTCATCGTTGTTCCAGACGCACAGGGCCTGAGTCTCTCAAGGACTCGGCTTCTCCCTGACTTTCAGTTTAGGATCCATACGGATCTTTTAGCCTCCAGGAGAGGGTCACCGAGGAGGTCAGGCTCTGATTTACTGCTGCCTTTCACGCCCAGGAGGCCCCATGCTCCCAGATGATAATTCCAATGGCCTTGAAATTTGGGAGAAAATTCCGTATATATGAAGTAGAAGCCTCTCCAGATTCTTTAGCCATTTTGCTACCTCTGAACACTTATTGCTGGCTTACAAAAATCCTCAAGCATTTGGGTCAAGTCGGTGTGCAATGAGATTGGTCACACCTGTGGGGAGGGTACTTTTTTTTTTCCTTCTCATTCCAACGGAGACCTTTGGAATCAGACCAAAGAGTCGGAAAAAGTGGAATGTCCACTCTTTTTCCTGCCCTTTTAGCAAGAAACTTCACCGGAGAACAGACAGGGAAGAGCAGCATATGGCTTTAATCTCTGCCCACCACCTGGGAACCTCCAAAGCCATGAACTGGAGTATCCCTGTAAGTGACTAGATGTGGACTTAACACAAAATGTTTGTCTTGAAAATGTCATACAGTTTCCCAAGATGTCTCAACAAAGAAATCACTTAGGAACTCAAGAATTATTGCTTATAGAGAGTAACTGTCCTTACTTTAGAAAACTTAATAAAAATATTTCCATTGTGAGACTCATTTTTAGTCAGTAAAATATAGGAAACCTTCCTCATAACTTCATTGTTTGAAATTTATTCAAGGATCTCCTAGAAGGATAAACTATAACATATTATTAAATAAAACAAACACACTGAGAATTGAAACATAAGGCTTATTGCATTTCAGCATATTTTCTCCCTTTTCTGGAGGTAGATAATACTACAAAATGCAGGACGTGGACTGGGGAGTCAGGAAACCTGGCTCTAAATTCCTACTCTGTCACCCAGTTGAAATAATAAGCAAGTCGATTCCCTCTATGAATTGCTATATCCTCTTCTATAAGATGAAGAAGTTGGACTTGACTCTTAAATTCAAATTTATTTGACAAACATGTATTGAACACCAATGCATGCCAAGTACTGAGCCAGGGATTGGGGATAGAATGATGACTAAGGCACAATCCTGCTCGCTGAAATACCTCCAGTCTTGTCTTAAAGACAAATAACCCAAACTCTCGCTACCAATCCCTTTCTTCTAAAGTTCCATGATGCTTCCTCGTTTCCATGTTTCTACTTACTTGCGGAAATCCTCTTCGTTTATCTTATTCAAAGCTTTCATAACCGCCATTCTAGTGAATACTGACTATATAGGGTAAAATGAAAAGAAAAGACATTTTATCAGCTAGATGAGAAAACGTCAGAGGTGAAACACAGAACATGGTTGGAGAAATTGTACCATTTTAAAAACATACTTAAAAGGGAGAAATACTTAATAGCTTTAAGAAAATAAGTAAAATGTACAAGTGTTCATATGGTCAGTTCTGCAATCACTATACTCCTACAACCCTTCTCCTTCAGCCTAGCTAGTCTATGTCTACAATACCCAGGAGACCTAGCGGAACACGTCTTCTTCACTGCACTGTCCCACTCCCCTCAAAGCGTGGCATTCTTCAAATACAAAAATGATGACACTGCAGGAAGTGTGCTTGGAATATCTTCTCCCGGGCCTCAAAAGGAATTTAGGTCGATTCATCTACCTTTTCTTCCCTATATCCCTGCAGAGGCTACAGGACATAATTTAGGAGTTGGCTGCCAGGCTAAGGGGTAAAACAGAGCCAAGCAGCCTGCTCTGGCATCTAGCAACTCATTGTCACTCAGCAGCCACAAAGTAAAACAAATCCATGATACTGAATAGAAGGGCATCTACAACAAATGTCCCACTTAAGGGTTTTTAAAATAAGAAAAGCCAAATCACATGGTAGACATACTAGAACTAACTACATATATATATATATATATATATATATATATATATATATATATATATGATAAGTCACATATATACACAATTATTTTGTCTGTTATGAGAAATGACACTTGACTGAAAAGGGGCGCAATGTAGACATCTCAACAGTTTATCATCAAGGCCATGATTTTCTAAATCACATTCTGGGGAACCCCAAGGTGCCACAGGGTTAGAACTGAAAATTAAGTGCCTGTTTGTTCAGATTGGAAATGTTAGGCCTGAATCTCTTAAGGTCACTCAATTTACTACCAGCCACAAGGCAGGAAAACTACAGTTAAAACTATACAGCACCTACTGGCCAAATGGTGTGGTGTCTATGATGCTTTGACAAGAATTCCCTTATCCTATTATTTGATGCTGGTACTTGTATATTTCCTCAAAGGTAACACAAAATAAACCTAGCTCTTCAATATAAATATGGCTATAGGTCATTAGGACAGAATTTCCCAACTGATATGTCAAAGCAGTGAGCTGCAGTTGTGCCAATATTCCAATCCCTATAGTTCACAGGCGCTGAGCAGGGCCTGGGACAGTGGACAGCACCAGGCTTACTGCTTCCAACTTAGAGCAACTTCATCTGTTAACCTCAGGGTGCTGAACAAACATGGCAGTGCTCTGGGTGCACCGTGACGTGAGAAAGGTCGGGAAGTGCTACTTTAGGCTTGGTCTACATTTCTAGTCATTTTTGCACAGAGCATTCAGCAAATGTTACACCCCGCTCCCTCCCGCGCCCCACCAACAAGTTCTAAAAGGCTCAGCAATCAGTCAAAGCAATCAGTCAAAGCAAAAGGAAGATCAAATGAAGTATTTTTGACAATAAACTTACATTCTTTTTAACAACCAGAATGTCAGCCATTCAGGAATGCTTGCACAAAACCAGCTAAGTATGGGACATGAAAGTTTGCCAATACCATGCCATGCCATTCTATCCTGGTATAATAGAAACTAAAAGCAAATGCCAACTAATTTGCTCATTAACATGAAGACCAGCTCACATCAGACAGGGGAGTTTGAATAATATGCCCTTTTTGCAAATGTAGCTTGAAATAGTCTTTATTAATTCCGTACAATAAAATAATTTACTTTGGATTATATTTTTGAAACACCAATTGCTAGAAAATAGATCTTAGACAAAAGTTTGGAATGCTGTTCAATTTACCACAGACTTTCCCAGATGTTATCATTTTGGGAATTAAAATCTGTAAGTTCAAATTTTCCCAAATGGTTAACAGAAACATCATTGAAACCCGGGTTCTAAATTCAACAAGAGGGTAACAACCCAGATGATGACACAACCGTGAGTGCGGTTATGACTTTCTAGACAGAGGCAAAGGTGTTGAGAGCCGAAAAAATAAATAAATAAACATAGCAAATGGAAAGATTTAAAGACTTGATTCTTAGTAAAATAGATTGCCACATTACTATTGCATACCTTTTTTTTTTTTTTAATTTGAATAATCAGCTCAGACAAAACTCACTAAAGAATAAGAACCAGGCACCCTTACCTGTTTGTTTTTGGCTGGCTTGAAGCAATCCGGGCATATTGCACGTCTACGTAAAATTCAAGTTATTATAAAAGGTTAATGAGTTTATAATTCAAACGTATTTTATTCAACATGGCTGCTAAACTCAGGATATCAGGAGCAGACAAAATAAATCCCTATACGAGCTGCATTGGTCCCAGGGGTGGGGAATGTCCAGCCTGTGGCCTGTGAAATCATTTGGCCTGGCCCTGCCAAGGCATTAGGGGTGAGTTAGTTAAATGTCTGACCAAATACAGCAGGCTAATTTTTAAGTTGATAATTTTGTATAGCCCGCAAATGATGTTATAAATATCCAAATGGCCCTTGGCAGAAAAAAAAGGTTCCCCACCCCTGGCTAGACTTTACATTAGAGAGAGCACATTTTAAACCTACTAAGACATGACAAGTTCTGATATACTCATTAGAAAGAGGAGCAATACTATTTTCATGAAAACCAAAAAGCATTAACAATGTTATACCATTGACATTGTTGTTTACGGGGCAACTTACAGGAAGTGGCAATCCTCCACTGTTTCTGGGTGAGCAAAGACCACACTCACTTCAAACAAGCTCTAAAAATTATAAAAGACAGTTTAAAAATGAGCAAAAGGAAACCAACATCTAACAACTTATGAATGGAAATAGAAATGAACTCTCACAGGTTGGCTCAGAAAAAGAGTGACAAGGAAAACGGGAAATACTACTATTTTCAAATCGGCTTGTACACAGAGCAGTTGTAGAGGAAATTGTCTTTTTTCTTTTTTTAACTCCTAAAGTTCAACCACTAGTGATCCTACCAAAAAACAAGTTTGAAAGAAATTTTAAAATAAATGTTTCTGACTTTTGTACATGAATATACATTAGGTGTGAAGATGAATGAGAATTCAGGGAATTGGGAAGAGAGAACTGAAAGAAATGAAGAATTATTCCAGGCAATACAAGGATTAGAATTATTAGCAAAGCAAAAAGCACTTTATTTACATACTTAAAAACTCTGTAGGAGGCTTTTTAAAGCTGTTCAAACTTCTTAATAAGTTTGAGTTTTAAAAGAGAGATCTTAATTTTTTCTTATTACAAAAGCAATACATACAAATTGTAAAATGATCAAATACAGGGCAGGTTTTCAATCCCACTCCACTGAGGGGATAGAACCAGGAATAGTTTGGAGTGTTTCCTTCAAACCCTTCTTATGAATATAGACATAGATGTACAGTATATACTTCTTGGGACAGTAAACATACATTTGTATAACTGCTTCATGAATATTACGTCATGGACATCTTTTCAACTCTAGGGGCTGTTGGATATTTTAGTTGTAGTAAGTTTTTCTAGTATTAAAAAAATGCTAAAAATAAACATCCTTGTACACACAAGAAAGCACAATTTCATACTCTGTGTACATTGACCATGGAGAATATATAACATTCCACATTGAGAAAAATATATGAATGTCATACCATGCAACAATCTTACCTTTTTTATTGAGGACTACATTACAGATTGCATAGGACTGTCGGCAAGCCAATTAACTATTCTAGAATCACAATAGTTGGTTTTTTCCTCTCTATTCTAATCTACCAAATAAAAATAAGATTACAACACATTTTTTTTTTTACTCAAAAAAACTTCAGTCCTTCTGAATCTATTAGAACATTTTTATATCTTTTGTTTTCTATTTTTGGTTCTGAGTCAACATATAAGAAATCATTTGTGCTTCAAAAATAAAACCTGAGGTAAAAAATATTTTTTGTCAATGACTTCTTTAATTTCCAAAGTACTTTCATTACCTCATTTCCTCTTCATGCTATCTGTGGGTTTTATTTTCTATTCTCTCAGTATTCAGTTTAAAGGGCAGTCAGAGTTTATTCTCACTAACTGAGAGAAACAGAGCTATACAATTCAGAATAGTAAATTTTAAAAAAATATTTAGCTTTGAAAAATGGTTTTATGATTTTACTTGCATGAGCGTGTGTCTGATATTCAGGGAATTTCTTTCAAGCAAAAATGACCAAGCAATGAGGCCATACTCTTACAATTTAATTTAAATGAGCTGGGAATATGTCCTGTTTCCACATCTTGAAACTCGTTTAGCTCTTCCCCAAAATTCAATCCATTCTAGAGACTGAGGCCAGGTCGGCTCTGGAATAGGGAGATGGTTAAGTGTTCGGTTTTCCAAGGCAGTCTCTGCATAAGATCCAACAGAGGGGTTTAAAATAGCAACAAGGCAACAGACTGAGCCCAGGCTCACTGTAGTTGAGAGGATTCTGTCTGCATATTTGAAAACAAGATTAGCCACAGATAACAAAATTTAAATAGTCTAGAGTGGATGCAATACTTGCTCAGTTATTTATGTATTGCTTTGTGTCAGTAAATTCATCCCTACAATTAAAATATAAATATATTAAAGGCTTAGATTCATTTCTAACCTCTTAAGGTCAATTAGGATGCACTGCACCTGTTACACTCATAAGTGTCTTGGATCACAAAGAAGTCTTTAAAAAAAGAAAGAAAAAAAAAACCTTTAACCTCAATTTAAGACTGTTAAAAATTATCATTTTAAAGGCTTAAAAATCCTTCATTGGATTATTTAAAGAGAATATTCTCTTGGCTAACCAAAACTGTACCATAAAATGAAGTAAAATTGGTGAAATCAGAGAACATAATTAACAATGCTGATGATCCAATACCTTTCCATCAATGGGAACACCCAGTTCCTCTGAAAACAGGGGGTGAGTTATCCATTTGTAGGCTTCTTTTAGCTGAACTATGTCATTTCTTCCCAGTGACAGACTCTGCTTTCTGAATAACATAAAAATTAATTCACTGACATGAAAAACTTCACTTTTTCTACTAAAGGCAAGAGTTTATGCAATTATTTTAAAAATATTTATTAAGTGCCTCCTATGTCCCAGGCACTATTTTACACATTAGATAAAAAAACAGAGAACAAAGCAGACAAAAATTCATGAGCTCATGGGCCTTATATTCCAGTAAAATCAAGAAGCTGCTTTTTTTTTAATGGCATAAAGACAGTGTATAATGTTTCAGAGACAACGGTGTACTAATGAGCTAGAATTGTCAGATTCCAGAATTTATACATCAGAAGACAGAAAGATGGGATAGAGAAGATTGTTTATTGTTCAGAAACTACAAAACTGCACATTACAATAATCTCATCCAGACTAAACTGTTTGCATCAATACGATTCCTGATAATAGGGCTTACTTTTGGGAAGTATATGTAAAAGCTGTACTTTTTTCTTTACTGCTGAAGAAGAAATATTAAATCCTAAAGTATCAATGTTCTGAAATACTCATCATCTTAATATCAGATAAATGTCTGAATAAAAATCTGACATTCCCCCAAAATCTACTATGAGCCAATAAACAGGTTTGGGGAAGTCCCAATTATGGTTTCTAGCCTTTGGTTTGTAAACTAGAATTGTGAGAGAAAGGAACTGAGGTAAGAGGAAAGAAAAACATGGTATGATATTATTAAAACTGCTCTACTCTGCTGAGAACACTGCAGTGTCTGCTGAGAACACGGCAGTATCACTAATAAAGTAACAGGCCCACATCAGTCATATAATTAAAACTTCAAATCAGTCTTATGGCTATTCACAGGGCTACTTTTAACGAAGGAGATATTAAGGACCAACTTGTGACTCATTTTTTAAATGTCTAATTTTCACTGATATACCCTGGCCAAGTAGCTCAGTTGGTGTCATCCCAATACACCAAGGTTGTGGGTTCGATCGCCAGTGAGGGCATATATAAGAATCAACCAATAAATGCATAAGTGGAACAACAAATTGATGTTTCTCTCTCTAAAAATCAATTTAAAATTTTTTAATTGACAAAAATTAATTTTCACTGATAGAAATGACTACTTATAGTCAGTGTTTATTATAATTTAATTCTTTAAGACCAAAAGACACTACTAAGCGAAGGTAGAAAATAAGACTGTAATTTAGCTAATGGCTAAATTTAATCAATTGTTAAAAAATAAATATACACTCAAAAACTTATTCAAGCACTAAGTATTTGAGCTTCGTAAACTGTTTCTAATTTTCTAAATAACAAAAAAATTAGGTCTTTTTAAAAACTAATAGTTTAATGATATTTCCATTAAAAAAGCATCACAATTGAAAGGTGAATAATAAATAAGAATGCATTTTTAAAGGATAAAAAGTTGAAACAGAGAACATAAGAATGGAAAACTATTTAAAAATTGCTTATACTCTAAAGTACAATGGGTTGCGGCAAAAGTCAATCCTAAAAACATTACTCAATGTGTAGTTAAGAAAACTGGTATTTTAAATCCCTCATAGTCTTTGAAGTATATTTAGAGCTTCTCAGTCAAGTTAAAAAACTTCAACTATATGCATGTTTTTCTTCCAGATCAAAGAGCTAGGGGAAAGAGTTGGAAACCTTACCCTTATGCAAATATTTAAAATGCCAGATTTTCAATCCTGCAAGTTGAATGTGGCTAATGACTTTTCTAATATGATGTAGGTAAATGTTTTTACAGAGGCCCCTAGCATATGCTTGAAAGTCCTTTAGAGGAATTAGTATAATACCAAATTCAGTCCCAATTTAGTACTTAGTAACCACATTTCCCTCCTCTATCAGGTAACTACTGATGAGGATGTCAATTGTAATCACTTTTGCTATAGATATAACATGACAACCAACTAGATCAAAGAATCCGACACAATTTTTTCTAAATTCCTTGAGTCAATTCTACAATGGCAATTCTTTCACAATCTTTTGAACATAAAAAGACTTAGGGACACTAAGAATAAAAACTAGTGCTCTTTCTAAAAAAAAAAAAAAAAAAAAAAAAAAAGAATTAGTGCTCTTTCTATATTTTTCCTGTCTCAGAAACCCTACATTGAACGGAATCTTTCAGAAGAACTCATAAACTTAGTTTAAAATCCTTCAATAAGAAATAACAGCAACTCACAAGCAATGTGGATGGACTCTGGAAAATTCAGAAAATAGCATGCTCTGACTACACTAAACACTTTCTCAAATACAGTATCAAATTTTATTATGCCAGAATCACAAGCATTTGAGACTAATCTAACATAACCTAACCGAACTCCAAAACCTTTGATAAATACGTGGTTATTGCCCCCTGAAAAATGTAGATGTGAAATATTTTTAAAAACCAACTACTTCTTAAATAAATTACTTAACCAAATTCAAGATTTTAATACAGAAATCTGTACTTCTCTCTGAATTTTTCTCTCCAGAGTACACAGAAAACCTCTAGCAGTCACATGGCCTTTTTTATATTAGTCTAAAAATTTCAGTGTTAAAATCCGAAAAGCTCTGGAAAATGAAAGATTTTTTTTTCTTAGCTCAGTGAATTGAACATGTGAAACTGTTTAGAGACTTTATTTATGAAACTTAGTGTGACTATTCATATGTTTCACTGTAGAAGTATTAATGTTTGATTATACCAGTGGTTCTCAACCTTCTGGCCCTTTAAATACAGTTCCTCATGTTGTGACCCAACCATCAAATTATTTTCGTTGCTACTTCATAACTGTAATGTTGCAACTGTTATGAATCGTAATGTAAATATCTGATATGCAGGATGGTCTTAGGCGACCCCTGTGAAAGGGTCGTTTGACCACCAAAGGGGTCACGACCCACAGGTTGAGAACCATTGGATTATACAGTAGCAACCCAGACCCTAGAAGGGAAGGTATGTTTATATATGGTATTTTACACCATATTACATTTTCAAAATCTAAAAGTTTCTAAATTCCACAACACATTTGGCCTTGAAGGGTTTCCGATGAAGGACTGTGGACCTGTTTTCTATGTCTCATCTATGTATAAACTCACTATTGTTCTGCCTTAACTAGGATTTTACTTTGTATCTTTTATAGCATAATTAGTTTCATAAATTAGTTTCTAAAATCAGTATAAAATTTATTCTCTTAAAATAATTTGCCAAACTACATTATATAAGTGGCCAATGAATATAAAGTATGTATTTATATTCATGTTAAAACTACAAAAAAATCTGCTAATGTTATGCAAATAAACCAATTAAACAAGGTTGACACCTAAATTTATACAATGAAAATTTTCTTTGTGCCAAATTCTCTAGTAGCCAGTGAACTCACTCTAAAAAAAAGAGATAGTGGTAGTAAAAGTCCTTTAAAGAATTAGGTAGCTTATATTTAAATGGTGGTAAAAATTCCCTACCTAAATTACTTACCCCATTTCCTGTTTTACCAGCAACCATGCAGCATGCTGTAGGCAATTTAGTCACACCCAGAAAGAAAAGGGAAAAAATGTTTATTGAAATTCAGTTCCAATATCATTACAAAAGCGCTTAACTAATTTGCTAATCAAACTCCCCTTTTTGGGAGAGAAAATAGTGTTCAGAAATGTGCCAGTGACCTCAACCTCATATAAAATCAGAAATGAGATCAAGAAGCCACTTTGCAACATTGCTGGCTGTGGCCTAGGAATTCAACAGGGGTATCCCCCACCCTCATACAGATTTCTATTTCTTATTAATGAGGTACAAGTGTTTTTTGACATGGGTAGCTTACATTTTTTTCTTAAAATATCTTACTATTGCATAGGGAAAGGCCCAAAGTGACTGAGTACATACTATGTCCCCAAAGCACAGAATTGAAGGCTCTGTTTTGTTTTTGTTTTCTAATAGGGCTAACACAGTTTTAATTATGCCTAATTAATGATATACACATGTATGTGTTGAGGAGTCAAAGGTCCTCATGTCTGTAACTCACTGGAATACAAGAAAAACTAATGTGAATGGTAGATAAATTGATGGCTAGATATACAAAAAAGCAAATATAGAAAAACCATAACAACTGTAGAATCCAGGTGGGTATATGGGTGTCCATTCTTTCCACTTTATTATATGTTTTGAACATTCTCATAATAAGATGTTAGGGAGAATGCTCTGGGGAAGATTAATAGAAAACTAAAAAAATTGCTAAAATCACATTCACAATCATGATCATGAGGATTCAAGGAAATTCATGTAAAATGCTTTTTTTTATTGTCTAAAGTTTTACATATGTCTCCTTTTTCCCCAATTGTAAAATGCTTTACACGAGTGGTTCTCAACCTTCCTAATGCCGTGACCCTTTAATACAGTTCCTCATGTTGTGGTGACCCCCAATTTCATTGTTACAAATTGAACATAATTAAAGCATAGTGATTAATCACAAAAACAAAATGTAATTATATATGTGTTTTCCGATGGTCTTAGGCGACCCCTGTGAAAGGGTTGTTCAACCCCCAAAGGGGTCGCGACCCACAGGTTGAGAACCGCTGCTTTACACGGTAAGTGTGTGACAGTAAGATTTCTCTGTTTGCCATTAGACTACCATAGCTTTCACCTTAAAAAAAGGTAATGACACGTGCTGCCTCAGTATCAGCATTTTGTGAAGATGCACACGTAAGACGATAAAATGCCATATGCAGTCTCTATCACTGGCCAGTCATTATCATTATCACTCACATCCACTTCAAAACCTAGTTATATCTATAGATCTATCAATCTATCTTATCTATCCACCTACACACACACACACACACACACACACACTCACTCACTCACTCACTGTGGCTCATATGTAGAATCCTGTCCTTTTAAACTTCAGTAAGGCACTAGATACTTCTAAAGACTTACAATCATTTGGAAACAGGTGCATTACTTCCTTTGGACATGAACTAAACAGAATAATCACTAGCTAGGTGAGAACGAGAACTGTTCCCAATGCCTAACTGTCTCATCAGTGCCTTCTGATCCGATAGTTTCTTTACCTTGTTAGCTCAACCTAATACCATGTGTAGTACTACAGACTCCCTCCCTCTCTCCTTCCATTTACTCGGGACCTCTTTGAAAGTGTATGGGCATGGGATAGTATACACATCACTAGCGGTCAGAGACCCTCAGATCCCAAACTGCTCTACTGCAGGTAGTCCTGAAATCTCCCTCATCAATGGAATCTCTTCGGTATCTGAGCTTTAGGGAACTATCTTACCTGCCCCCTCCTTAAGGGGGCTCAGACTCATTAGTTCTTTCTCAGTAACCTTCTTCTCTCCTCTTTTGAGGCAAAATCTGTTCTCAACAGTCACTTCCAGGTGATGCCATCAAGCCTACAATGTTTCCTGTCATCCTCTGATTATAAAGTAGGGCAGAACTGGAGGTTGCCAAGGGAAACCAGATTACCATGTGTAACATGTAAAATTAAATCAAATCTCTTCAGTACCTGAGATCTGCTAAAGGGTTTCCCCTTCCTAATCCTCTAGGCTCCCTGCTCAAGCATGCCAGCAAGTCCCACAGAACTCATCACACAGCAGGGGCTGGAAAACTGAATCCCAAACAATTGTTCCAGGTGCTCAATTACGCATTTTTTTACCAAGTGTTAACAATGCCCTGAACCTGCTTCTGCTGGGGAAAAAGAAGTACATTTCTCTCTTTTAGGTCACCAAGATAATTTTAAATTTATAAATCTTCGATTCCTTAGTCAATGGGAAAAATTCATTCTCTAGAGCAAGCAATTCAATTCTTCCTCCCCAAAAGAGTCAAATGGCATTAAAGTTATCAAGTTTAATCAAATTTGATAACAAAGGCAGTATATCACCTCCTAAAAACTCAAAAACCACACAATTTAATCCTGGACTCTGCTTTAACTTTATTAAAGAACTGAGGCTTGGTGCACGAATTCATGCATGGGTGGGATCCCTCGGCCTGGCCAGCGATCTGCGGGAGGTTGGCCAGGGGGGAGGGGCCATGGGAGGTTGGCTGGGGGGGAGGGGCCGTGGGAGGTTGGCCAGCCAGGGGGAGAGACTGTGGGAGGTTGACCAGCCGGCCCTATTGGGGCCGATTGGGGCTAGCCGGCCATGGGAGGTTGGCTGTGGGAGTGCACTGACCACCAGGGGGCAGCTCCTATGTTGAGTATCTGCCCCCTGTTGGTCAGTGTGCGTCATAGCAACCGGTTGGCTGGTCGACCGTTCGCTTAGGCTTTTATATATATAGATTCCAAGCAAGTTCTAAATGGGGCAGTTGAATAGCATCCTTGCTAAAGTGCTGTGTACTCTGGACACACACACACACACACACACACACACACACACACGGGAAAGTCTATGCCTTTTGAACTTTAGAGTTCTGAGGAAGTGGTTCATCCAGTACCTAATGAGGAGAGTGGATGATGTAGGGCCAGGGATTGAGGCTGATTCAAGCAGAGGTGGCAGGAAGAAAGGACAGAGAGAAACAGGCATTAAAAATGACATGTTGGGGAACTATAATTTAGTAAAGTTGGAGTGTAGAGCATGTATATATGTGCATAAATGCGAGTAGGGAGTTCAACAACAAGAAATTAAACTAGAAAGGTTAGCAGGTTTTCAGTACCCAACAAGGGCATGAATCCAAGGACTAAATAACATGAGAAATGCCACATTTATGTACCTACAAAATCCCATAGAGGCACAAAGAACCAGCATTGACCTGTAACTCATCAAGTCACAATATAACCACCATCTTCACACTGTCTTTCTTATGTGATAATTTAAGAGAAAAGTAAAATATTTCTTATACCAAAATATTTCTTTATCATAGAAAAGGTAGTGTAAAAAAAAGGCATATGTTCCAGAAAAATGACAGAATGATTGCTGAAAAAGACAGTCCACTTTTCTCAGATCTGTTGCCTATCTCGCCCTTATAGAACCTGAGTCTACAATTCCCAAGGGAAACAACCCCTAAAAGGTTGGTCCTGCCTCTAAATATTGTGTGATCACTTGCAAGGTGGCTTATCTCTCTACATGTTGGTTTCTCAATTATAGCATGAAAAGGCTCTACACTTCATTATTTTTTGGGCACCACTTATGTGATGAGATCTTTGCTGAGAATACAGAGATGAAAGACCAATCTCTGCCCATAGGGAACTCATGATGTAGGAGAGAATAAAGGGGAGTAAAATAAAATTTAATAATAGCCGAGACCGGTTTGGCTCAGTGGATAGAGCGTCGGCCTGCGAACTGAAAGGTCCCAGGTTCGATTCCGGTCAAGGGCATGTACCTGGGTTGCGGGCACATCCCCAGTGGGAGATGTGCAGGAGGCAGCTGATCGATGTTTCTCTCTCATCGATGTTTCTGACTCTCTATCTCTCTCCCTTCCTCTCTGTAAAAAATCAATAAAATATATTAAAATGAAAAAAAATATTTTAAAATTTAATAATAATATTGATAAAAATAAAAATACAGAATAGTGGTGACTATGTCAGGGACATATTTAGAGGGAACATGTAAGGCACCCTCAGCTCAGTCTTGTAGGAGAAGTGACACCTAATCTGAGCTTTGAAGGATCAATTACTAAGAATTAACTGGGGCAAGAATGGGGGAAGTATGTTCCAAATATAGAAACTCTATGATGCAAAAACCAGACAGCTTCAGGAAAGTTCTGGGAACTATAAGTCCCTAAAGAGCTAAGGACATGTGGCTGGGGAGTGCAAAGGTACAGAACAACTGTACCTATGCTAAGGGGTTAGATTTTACACTTAAAGCAATATGGTGCCATGGCAGGATTTTAAGCAATGGAAAGGCATGACCATATTTGTCTTCAGGAATGCTCTCTCTGGTTGCAGTGTCAATTAGAAGAGGAAGATGGGAACTAAGGGAAATGAAGACATGTAGTAAATTAAAGCAGTAATTCAAGCAAGAAATAGTATATTATGGCAATGCTGGTGGGGATAGAGAAGAGTAGGCAGCTTAGATATGAAGACACAAACCAAGAAAACTTGGTGACTAGCAGTGATGTAGGTCTTTCGAATTATCATTAATGCCCTTAAAACTCTAGTCTTTTGCCCCAGCCAGGGTGGCTTAGTGATTGAGGGTCAATCCATGAACCAAGAGGTCACCGATTCCCAGTCAGGGCACATGCCCAGGTTGTGGGCTCAATCCCCAGTAGGGGGCGTGCAGGAGGCAGCTGATTGATGTTTCTATCTCTCTATCCCTCTCCCTTCCCTTCTCGCTAAAGTCAATAAAAACATATTTTTAAAGCAATTCTAAAGTCTTTTTAATCTGACACATCTCTTGGACTCTTTATAATAACAAAGACAATACAAATATAGACTTGTGCCAACAGGGAAATGACAATAGTTGTTTGGGCAGCTAGAGGTAGTATTCCTAATCCCTCTTCTTCTTCCAATACACACACATGCATACATATACACATTTATTTTTCTTGCATGCAAATAGCTGGTTGGGAA